TGTGCTTCTGTCTCCGCGCTGTTGTTGCCCTGTTGATGACATCAGCTACGCGGTTTAGTCGGACGTGGTTTAGTTGAGCGCGGTTTTGTGGTGGAACCCAAAGATACTAGCTTAATCAATTTTCCAGTCAGAGAGCAGAATATGATACTATATAGCCAAAAATAGACTGCTAAAGAAAACCCCACAGAGGATTAGAAATACAGGTTCAAAACACAAATTTGCAAAGTGCATTCAAAAATTCTGCAAAATTGAACTTTAGGGTAATTTCTTAAATTATTGAATAGAGTTTATTTCTTGTGCCTTTTTAAAACATTTTGAACCAACTTGGTCCTAGTTATGAGAAGGAGCTGTACTAGAGATATTTATAACTACATCACTTCTTACAAAATTCCTGACTATATTCATTACTCAAGGATTCTGCTTGAGACTGAAAAAGTTTAGTGGCAGTACTAAAATATATTTTCCAGCAAGTCTATATTAGGAAAATTCATGGTTCCATTTCCTCCACTATATTTATCAAACCTCTTAGTCCAGAGTTATAATAAATAGTAGAGGGTCGCAATTGTCTACATGATTTGAGATAGTTTGTTGCATGAACTTAAGCTTATGAGAATCAGTTAAAGAGCTGTTTCCAAACATTTTGAATGGTTGTCTCATAAATTATAGAACAAATGACTTCATGTTATAAGAACAAAAAAAAAATTTAAGACTAATCACTAGGAAGAATTTCCTGAGGTTATGAGCTGTTCAGTAGTGGAACAGAATTTTTTTAAAGGAAGTAAACAGTGATTAGAGGTTTCTAAGTAGAAGCTAGGTGACTACCTATCAATTCTTGCCCAGTAATGGATTTCCTGTACTGGCAAGATTGTTGAATTAAGTGATTTCCAGCATGATCATAAAATGTTATCCTGTTGACTTCAGAAGTATACATTTCTGAATAAAAAATAGATAGCATGCATCTTTCCTGATGAATCTTCATTGGTTTTAAAAAGTACAAAATAAAAGCATTTCTAGAATCACATTCCTTGATTCTAATACCAGTTTTTTTGTTGCACTGATCATATTGTATTGATTTTCAAATATTGAAGGTTTCCCCTCTCTCCCTATAAACCTGTGTGATCACTCACGCATTTGTATAGTTTTTGTTGGGACATTCTTCTCTTCTGAATATTTTTACCTGCATTAAGTATTGATATCCTTCCTAGAACTAAAAGGTTTCTTCTGCTCAAGCCTACTCCTGAACATAATATTTTCAGTTTTTCATATAGTATTGTGTTTTCAGTATATGTTTCCATCCATTCCAGTGAATTCTTTTTTCCTTTAGGACACATTAAAAGTGATAATTTTGTGACAAATTGGGAATAGTTCCACCCCACGACTTTCGACAGCAGTGTTTAGGAAATCTCATGTTGTGCTTCCTTATTTTACCCATTCTTCTCACATCAACAAGGGACACAGTGGCTCAGTCGTTAGGGCCCTGATATTAGTCGCAGTTTGAGACCCAATTTCCGAGAGACGTACTGAGTTCCTATCACTTGTCCCAGCTCCTTCCAACCTAGCAGTTTGAAAGTATGCAAATGCAAGTAGATGAATAGGTATCATATATGAGCACAGGGAAAGGTAACAGTCTTTATTTCACCATATACTTCATGTTGTGGCATGATGTTATGCCGGCTACATGACCACAAAAACATCTCTGGACAACCTCTTTGACTTAAGAAACAGATGAGAACTGTCCCCAAACCTGCTGGGAAACCTTTTTTTACCTTTTATCACATCAACTGCTAGAGTACATGGTGAAATCAATGTATTTTTATGTTCTTCATCCAATATATTTATTTAATTCTCATTTTATAACCAGTTTTAAAGCAATTACTGTCTCTGTTCCCTCAATAGTTTATTTTCGTGTCTAGGCCTTTAACTTTCAACTTTTACTATTTTTCTCAATAATTTTTATTCTGTGGTTAGATTTATAGGTACCTCTTGAAAAAAAAGCACAAAGTGCATTTCATGTTGTTAGTTTACATAATTTATCATCATCATCAAACTTTATTTGATCAAAAAACAGATTATTATGTAATTTATAACTGTGGTTTCATTCTAGTTCATTTTTATAAATGCATAATTGACATTTATAGGTCTTTGGTGTTAGTTTACATAATTTGCATAAATAAATTTGCATAGATGGCATAAAATGTAAATTATGTAATTATACAAATTAAATTCAAATATAAAAGGTATTTGTATTGAATTTATAAACATTCCTCCATTGTCTGTTAAATCAATATTGAGGACAAGTGTATACAGTCTTGTCCCATTGATCAAAGAGTTGTAAAATAAGCTGGTGGAAAAAGTTCTATCTTAAAGCTAAATTATGTGGAAGAGTCCTTTGTAGTTGCTATGAAGCCCTAAAATTGATAATGTCTTCTTGGAAGGTCTCAAAACCATGCTTCTAGCATTCTGCTATAAACAAGGGATGCATTTTACTTTCTTTGCATCCATACTGCCTGGCAGCTCAACTAATTGAAGGTTTATTATTTTAGATGTTCTACAAATTCCTGGATTCGTCCATTTGTGGGATCCATCCTTACCCACCTTGTATTATAATGCCACTCCTGAGAATGTTGCCCTCCATAAATGCTAAGTGTGACCTCAGAGAACAAAATATTGCCCATCCTTGTGTTAATTTTCATATCTATCTTTAGTTCTTGCTTTATTTATAGATTTACAAACAATCCAGGAAGTTTAACAAAAAGCTAACCCTTTTAATTTCCCAGGCAGTTAATTCTTTTTGTTTTATTTTGTAACAAGACCTTCCTGATGTTGGCTCTATTCTGGTGTCATTTTATATATATTGTATTTTTCAAGATTTTTTTCACCTTTAAATTGCTTACATCTCTTTTTTATTGTTGTCATAGTACATAAGAATTCAAAAATAAATTTAAGGGAATTAAACTTAACCCAAAGGTGCTTTTCAAAAGGCAACTAAACTGAATCAGAGTGCAAATGGGTGTGGAACCTTCTTGGGACTACTGAAAGGACTGTATTGTACACAGGGGATAGGTGATGTCACATCCCTCCCCCTTTGTTGAGAAGGCTGTTCAATTTTAATATAGATTACCTCTTTGACCCCTCTTTCAAACCACTGGTCCTCTCTGTCCAGAATGTGGACTTTGCTGTCTTCAAAAGAGTGACCTTTGTCTTTCAGATGCAGATGGACTGCTGAATCTTGTCCTGATGGGTTTATTCTCCTACATTGTGCCATGCATTTGTGAAGTTGTTTTGTTTCACAGTGTACAGATCTGCACATGTCTCACGGCATTGCACAGCATATACCACATTGCTCAGTGTGTGTTTTATCCTTGGAGTGGACAAGTTTCTGCCTTATTCTTGGGTTTAAAGTGTGTACGTATGTTATTGTTGAAAATCCTCCTGAGCTTTTCAGATATTCCTGCAACGTATGGAATGACAACGTTGCTTCGTTTGTTGTTTTCTTCTTTCCTTCCATTCCCCACCATTCAGCCAGAACTGAAGAAGCTTCTTGGATGAGAAGCGAAACATCTTCAAGGAAAAAACCAAGAAAGTCCAGTTGCCTTTTGAAAAGCACCTTTGGGACAAGAAAGACCTGGATGATTGAGAATCTCCATAGGCAGAATTAAACTTAAGTTAGTAAGAATTTGGGATTAAAGTTTCAAAGCAAATATATCATGGCATGTGGCAAACTCTTAGAACTTTTTAAAAAAATCTGATACTGGAAATAAATAATTCCTGAAATGTAACTGCAGTGATAAAGGCTTTAAAAACAAGGGTCTAAAATTGTCACTTCTTGTTGTTGAGATGAGCACTATATAAATCAAATAAATAAATAAATTTCCATTAAATTAAGATAACTTTATCATGTAACAGTTTAAATTGTAAACCTATTAAGTACTTTAGATTTTCCTTAGAGTATTTTTTAAATTTAATTTTAAATTAAATACTCTGATTTACTTATCAGTCATCAGTGAAACAGTTTACTTCAATTAACGCTTATTTGAAAATAGAACTGTAACTTGCATTAAGACAAAGCTATCATTGTAATTAAGATTAGTATACAATAAACTAACATTAGTAGCAGAAGTTTGTGCTGGAAAAAGGCACACTATTTTTACACAAGACTTTATAACATTTGTAAAAAAATAAACTCTCATCCAGACATTCTGTCACTATTATGCTCTTTTGAATAGAATGTTTCTTGTACATTTTACACTGTACATTGCCATTTTCTTGTACATTTTAAAAAATATATTTTTCTACATTTTGTACATTTTAAATATATATTAAAAAAACTAATTTCAGACTTTTAGAATATTTTTAATAGCAAAATCTGTATGTACTTTTTATTTTCACTTTCATATGCTTTGAGGCAAGCAAAGTAATTTTGGAAGTGATAATATAATAACATTCTTGGACTCTGAGCCAATGAATAATACTGTATATGAAAATAACATTTATTTTTAAACGGGCGTTTATTTTCTCCCCTTTCCACTTCCTTTTCCAACAACATTACATTTAAAATAGCATCTTACATTCTGATACCCATTCATGACTCAGGAAGAAGTTAACTCTAAATGGGAATTGTGATACATAAAATCTATAATTAAAACAGACTTTATCCAAATTAAACTAGAAAAAACATCACCAAGTACATTACATTCTAAAGATTATACATTGAATTCATAAAGTAATATCTCAGCAATTTACAGTATCTCTATTTAAAACATAGGTATATTACCTAATATAACTTTTAATAGATTTTTCTTTTCTTTTTTGAAATAAAAGTTAAAATAACATTTGAGAGGCAATATCCTAGAAGGCTCCTTTTAAGTGTTAAAGATGTTACATGATTGTTTGCATAGAGTCTCAATGTACTAATTAAGCTTCCTGCTTAAATGTTTTAATAAGTGGAATGATTTATTTAAATACTTTATAAAATATATTATTAAATTTCCAATTTTCAGGAATTCTTTGAACATGCAAAAAAGCTCTGGGATGATGAAGGAGTAAAGGCGTGCTTTGAGAGATCAAATGAATATCAACTGATTGACTGTGCACAATAGTAAGTACCACTTCTAGGAAAATCCTTCTAAAATTGTGTTCTCTATTTTGTTACTGGAAGCCAGTGGAAATATGCATAAAATGTCTGGGATTCTATCTTAAAAGGCAAAAGAAAATAATTTCCATTGTAATTTTATCTGAATCATTCATTTAACTAAAAAATCTATTAACCCCCTTTGTTAATAATTACAGTTACTGATTCTAGCAGTATATAAATTGTAACGTGTTTCTGTTCACATAATATAGATTCAGTTTTCAGTTATAACATTGTTCAAGGTCCTTGAGTTTAAATAAGTTTGCATATGTATGTCTAATAGATTTGGTTTTCCTTTCAGCTGATTTGAAATTTTAATTTGTATAGGAAGGCATATTAGTATATAATAGAGGATTCGTGATGGATGGAAAAACCTGCAGTCCACTAAGATACTTTATTTTATTACATGCGCTTTAGATACACAGCTAATAAAAACATTGCACATTTTTCCCTTCTAAATAAGAAAATTAGGCAGTTTGATTTTATTGAATAATGGAAAATATCTAATGCAACAGATAAGCTGTAAAATATGCTGAAAACTTTTAGGGGGGGGGAATAAACAAAAAAAGTACAATAACATGGTTGCAGAAAGATGCACATACTTAAACTACTTTGTTGAAGTTTTAGTTTCTCTTGTTTCAGAGATGAAAAACATATATAAATTTCTTATTAAAAAAATAAATTTTCCATGATATTATTGTCATTACTTCTGTTGTTGCTAATTACTGCAAGAGCTGTCTGATGTAGTTTAAAATAAACATAAACTAGTGGTTTATGCTTATTTATGTCTCATTGTAATGACTAAATAATGGATTGTTTGCATAACTGTATGAATATTTTTTAAGATATATTATCCCTTACTACTAATACTACTGTAAGATACTATTCTTTCTTAAAATGTTACGTGCATTAGGATTGTGCTAATTTGTAGCTATTGTGAGTACCTGAGATTTCAAATTGCTCACAGTTGCCAAGGATGTTAGCTATTCTCATTTGTTGCTTAACTATTCACTTAACAATCTATAGATGTACTGCAGGGATTAAAAAGATGTAAGCATTCTCCAGTATGCTGCTTGGAGAGTCCAAGCGTGGGTTAAAACAGTCTATCTGCCCTAGGACTGAGTGAGTTTTTTCTCTTGACCACGCCTCCCTTTGCCTCAATTATTCAGTTTAAAAAACTCAGTTCACCCATTTGGACTGTTATGGGAGCGCTCCAGTCCTAGAGCAGATATCTGGACTCCCCATGTTATTTTGTATTAGTTTTTGCCTTAGTTTTTTCGCTTGTTAGTCCTACGAGGATCTGAAGTTCATTTTACAGGTATTTAAACTGCTGAGTGGGCTCCAGGCCGTTTCTTCACCTGCTGATTGCACGCGGAGCAGGGAACGTGAGTCGCTTGTCTGGCAGTGGCCGGCGGGCGAGGGGACGGTGGGAGGCTTCCCGTTTGGCGCTGTTCCCCACCGGGCCGTTGCGAAGGTCACACAGTGCTCCTCAGCGTTCCGGCGAAGGCGGCGGTGCTCTTCTTGCCCGGTAGAGGCGGCAGCCATTTTTGGAGTTTTGCATGCTTTCGCTTTCAGCTGCGCGCGCAGCAGCCACCATTTTGTGCAGCCTTGTGGACAGAGAAAGCACTTGAGTGCCGTCGGAGCAAGGAGAAGGACATTATTAAGCACCTCAGCCACAGACCTCCACCGAGGAACGCAAGCCTATCCAGGGCGCCGGCCAGGCCTGCCTTCCTGTTGCCCACCTCTCGGAGCCTCTGAAGGCAGTAGGAGGAGGGAATCCAACCCTCGGGCAGCCCTCTCCTCCCCTTTAGTCTGTGGGCGCACTTAAGCCGGCTGGCTAAGTGCCCGATGCCCAGCTGCTGCATTGATCTTCAGGTCTGCCCAGAGAACACCATGGCAGACGACAGCAGGGAGGCGCAGGAGGTGCAGGCAGGGCCCTCCGCCAAACACAACAGGCTAGACCCTCCACCTAAGGGAAGTAAAGGAGGGAAGAGGAGGAGCCAATGTCGCAACATTACATCGTGCGGACTCGACAGTCCGAATCCGCCAATGACACTTTTGACCCTGGATGGTCCAGCAGGACCTAAACCATCCCAAAGAGACGGTGAAAGACAAGACCTTGCTGGTCGCAGGGACATCGCAAAGTNGGTAGCTAACTTTGTAGACTGCCTATGTACCAGGCTTAATTGAATCTTCCTGGGTGATGCAATGAAGGGGCTTTGGGCAATTGATATTACAGTGGTGGACTAATCCTACCTTTGTTGGATCTTGGGTGATGATATTTGTCACATTCTGAGCATGCTCACCAAGTTCTGTATTTGGCAGGAAACAGCCAGCAGCTGATTGGCTAGCCATCTGACAGCTTGGTATAAAAGGGATCTGTCAGATGGGAGCCTCAGCTGTTGCCTGTCTCTGAGCCGATTTGTTCTGTTAGCTTGTTACTGTTAAAGGAATAAACTTGTTAGTCTTTATTTCTGTCTGCACCTCTGTAATTCTGGCAGCTACCCACAGTTTTCAATATAGAACATTGGTGACGAGGATGGGATTGGCAGACTGAGATGTCAGAATTAGCTGGTCAGTACCTAAGCTAAACATCACTAACTGAGCTCTGTAAGTCACTACAAGATGTCATGATTGACTCCTGATAGGAATGGCCACCCTGACATTCATGCCCTTTAGCCAAGGCACTGAGACTTGGGAATCGTACATAGTATGATTTGAATGCTTCTTGGTTGCACACAATTTTACGGAGCTGGTAGATGAAAGAAAATGTGCCTATTTCCTGTCAGTCTGTGGCTCTGAGATGTTCGACATGGCAAGAGCCCTCACAGCATCACTTACAATCCAATCCGTGCCATGGGAGTGCTACTGATCAAGCTTAAGAACCATTAGGCACCATCACCTTCAAAAATAGCTCACCAACATACTTTCCACTGCAGGAACCAAGCCGAAGGCAAGTCAATAAACCATACGTGGCAGCCCTAAGAACAGCGATACTCTATTGTGAGTTTAAAGATCAAGACGATGCCTTGCTCTACCGGCTGGTATGTGGCGTTAGGGATTTGAGGTTACAGCGGAGGCTGCTGGCCAAACCTGATGTCTCCTTTCAAACCGCGTTAGCTGAAGCCTGTGCAGCGGAATTATCTAATCAATCACTGGCGGCTATCCAGCAGACCCAGCCTTTGCTGGCTGACACCAAGCTGACAGCATCAGCTATGGCCACTGTCCATCAAGGGGACGTGAGTGAAGAGTCAGAATCTGAGGAGGGCAAAAATGTCAATTGCCTTAACGAGTCGGAAAAAAAAGAGCTGGCCCAGTTGCAAAAGCACATTTAAATCTGGCTGTTTGGGTTGCAGAGGCAACCATATAAGAGCTCACAGAAAATTTAAACAGGCTCTTTGCCAGTGTTGTAGCCGAAAAGGGTACATTGCCAGAGTACTCAACTGATGACAGCTACTGCTGCCAAACTCCAGGGCCTCAGATGGCCATTTTCTAAGGTGCCCAAACTGGGAGATGATTGCCTTGCAATTTTCTGCCAATCTACCAGCTCTGAGGCAATCAACTGCCAATCTTGTAATATCATCAGGAAGAAAATCCCTCTGAGAGGAGGAGCCAATGTCGCAACATTACATTGTGCGGATTCGACAGTCCGAATCTGCCAATGACACTTTTGCCCCTGGATGGTCCAGCAGGACCTAAACCATCCCAAAGAGACAGTGACTGGGAAGACAAGACCTTGCTGGTTGCAGGGATATCGCAAAATCCCTGATCAACCCAAGGGAAGCACTTCCAACTGGCGGCAAACAGGCAGCCCCCCCCGGCTGACATAGTTGGTGACTGCTCCAGAAAGAGAAGTGAAAGTGTTTCCATCTGGTGATGTTTTCTTTTTTTTCTTTTAGAAGATTGCCCTAAGAAACTCTTTTCTTAAGCTAAATTAGTCCATTAAGCAAGAACAAAGTGGCATATTTAATCCCTATTGGACTGCCTTAGAAAGTTTTTTGCTCTTGCAAAAACGATGTTTTGTGGATTGAAGCGATTGCAACATTCCCTGTCTCTCCGCTTGAGGTGAAGAGATCTTTTTTTCTCTATTTATTTTTACTACCATAACTTTTTTTGGCTTAAATTAAACTTTTTTTATTTTAATAAATTTCTCCTGCTACTTGTTACAATATCATATTAAAGATATTCAAAGAAAAAGTCTTTAAAATAGTCAAATCTGCCACTTGGAAGCTCAAGTCTGAAGTTTCTTTTTTCTTTTGTTGTTGTAACAATGTATCCTTTGTTCACTCCCATCTGACTACACTGACTTTGCAACAGAAGGATTTGCAACTTGTTTTTAAAACTTGATAAAAATGCAAGGTCACAAATAGTGTACTGCTAGGACATGTGGAAAATATCCTGGCAAGAATTGCAAAAGGAAAGAAAAAGATTAGAACCCTTCTTCTTTGAAAACCATAAAAGAACATCTGCTTAAGATTTAAAATAAAAATAGATATATTCTTCAACATTTGTGACAGGCTGAGTGGCAGAAAGTACTAAATTCCTTTCTTTGCTTTTTCTTTATATATATATATATATATATTACTCTAAAAATAGAGCAATACTCAGATGAAGAAAACTTTATAATTCAAAACATTTTGGCTGGACTTCAAAACTTCTCAGAAGGACTTGAGAGATTTGAGAAGGAATGGGACAGACTATGGGACATCACAAAAAAAGATGAAGGGGTTGCAACCCCAGAAATTAAAGAAGCGAATGAAAATACAGAAAATAAAGATAAGAAGTTAGGTGAACTTATTAATGGAGTAAACGTGAGTCAAGGTGGAAAGAAGGGAAGCTGGAAAAGTGATTTTGATAATTTGGTGCTTCACCCCAAACTCCAAGATGCAGGAGAAAAAGAAAGAGCGAAAAAGATGGAGTTAATAAGACAAATCTATTCAGAAATAAACCTGACAACCAAAGTTAAGCTTACATTAATAACAACTCAAGGGCAACAAAACTACATGAGAGATCGTTTAAGCTACAAAGTGCAGAGAGAAGTCTTAAATCCTGGAAAGGTCCTGGGAAGAGAATCGACATGACAGCTGGCGAGAGAGGAAAGACCATTACCCCAGGCTTATTCCAGAGCTTAATGGAATGGCTGCTCCATGGACTCAAGGGCATCTTCCCCTACTTTGATAATGTCCTCATATCTGCAACCAGCCGCTCCAAACGTATGGCCAGACTTTGGGAAGTCCTGCACCATTTCCAGCAAGCCAGATTGAAGGTGAGAAGTGAGAGTGTGAGAGAAGTGCCAGATTGCCGTGCCCCCAGGTAAAGTTCCTGGGGTATCTCATTGATGCCACCAGTGTCCACCCATATCAGCCAAGACCAAAGCAATCTTAGAGGCTCCAGCCCTAACAACAAAAGCAGAACTCCAAGCCTTCCTTGGCTTGCTTAACTTCTACCCTTTATTCCTTCCACACAAGACATATGTGGCTGAACCACTTCATCACCTATTGGATTAGAAAACAACGTGATCTTGGGGAAAGAAAGAAGCTGCAGCATTCAAAGCAGTGAAACACTTGCTGACATCTAACACAGTTCTCTCAAAAGACAATGAAAATTTGCCATTGCTCCTGGCTTGCGATGCTTCCCAATATGGAGTGAGTGCTGTCCTATGCCACCAACTGCCAAACGGCACAGAAGTACCAGTGGCATTTTTTCAAGGACCCTGTCTACCACCCAAAGGAATTATGGGCAAGTAGACAAAGAAGCTCTGGCCATTATGGCTGGGGTAAAACGTTTCCACCATTACTTCTACAGCTGCCAGTTTGTCATTGTCACTGACCATAAGCCACTTTTGGGATTGATAATCAGTGATAGACAGACTCCACAAGTGATGTCCCCTCGAATGACCTGCTGGACAGTTTCCCTGGCTGCTTACAATTACACCTTGCAACACCGCCCAGACAAGAAAGTCACCCATGCTGACGCTTTAAGCCATTGCCCCCTCCCTGCCACAGTCGAAGATCTGGCGCCAACATCATCAGTCCTCTTAATTGAGGACCTTGATCTTCCAGTCACCACCGCTGACATTGCCTGGCAGTCCACCAGGGACAAGGTAATATCCAGGGTCTTAGACTGGGTTCAGCGAGGGTGGCCACAAGATGCCTTAGGGGTAGAATTCCTGCCATACAAGACCTGCCAACAGGAGCTATCTGTACAAAGTGTCTGCCTATTATGGGGTCACAGGGTGATTGTTCCTCCCCTCAGAGCCTCAGTTTTAAGGAAACTCCACTGCAGCCACCCAGGCATCATCCATATGAAGGTGTTAAGGTGCCTTTACCAATGGTGGCCCAAACTAGATCAGGAGACCTCTACCTGGGTCTCCTTCTGTCCCCAGTGCCAAGAGTCCTGACATTTTCTGCCCAAAGCCCCGCCACATGACTGGGAACGTTTCAGTGCGCCAAGGTCCCACATATCGATTTGGGGGGCCAGCCCAAGGACAGGTTTTCTTAGTGGTGGTGGATGCCTTCTCCAAGTGGCTGGACATAGTTAGAATGCCACCCACCACCTTGGAGGCAATCATAGTGGCTCTCCGGAAGCTATTTTCTACTCATGGGCTTCCCGATTTGCTGGTGTCCAGTAATAGGCCCCAGATCACTTCTGCAAAGTTTGAAGGGTTTCTAGTGACCCACATCTTGTTAGCCCACCATAACACTCCTTGCCCCTTAATTAACAAGAGCCCCACTGAACTATTAATAGGAAGGCAGCTGAGGACATGCCTGGATAGATTTCACCCCAACCACGGGGGGCGGAGCCGCAGCCAGTGCAGCTGGAGCGTGTTTGCAGTAGTGCCTCCCAGTTTTATTTTATTTTATCAATTTTAGTATTCCTACTGGATTCTTTTTTATTTAATTAACATTTTTTGGTGGAGATAACAGCGTAGAACATAATACAAACAAAAACTTTTGTTGCTGCCAAAGAANAGTAGGTGGTTGTGTCTTTAAATATAAATGATTCTAGATAAAAACATCTTTAAATAATGGTAACCAAATGAGAATTGTGGTACAGGGATAGTAAAATACATAATTTTTCCTTCTTGACTTAAAATGTACAATTTGATTTGAATGAAGTATATGTAAAGATTGTGGAAGAAATGCAACCCAATCGATACACTTTCTACAAGATATAACAAAAGATGATTCTTTTTTTGTGTGTTTTTTTGTTTAACTAAAATAATAAAATCCCCCCCCCCCAAAAAAAAGTAGGTTTTTTTTTTCCAGACTTCAGTATCGTGAGGAGAACTTTTTGATTACTGGTAAGTGTTGTTCAGCAAGGCCCCTCAATTATTCTTTTGTTTTCCATTTGGAGAGAGCTCACTATATGCCTGAAAGGGCTTTCTATTCAAGATGGCATCCCAGCTTCTCTAGAATGGCCAGGTTTGTATTTTTAGAAAGCTTTGCATCCTTGAAACCATTCAATTTAAGCTTTTTAGAGGTACTCTTCCAGTCCCATGATGTATTACAAATGCTGCTTTATGTTTACATATAGGCTTGGTCTCTCACAGAGACTCTCCGTGGATGCTAATGCTGGTACTATCATTTTAAACAATTGCTAATGTTAGCGTGTTTCCCAGTGAATTTGATGCCTGCCATTGATTCTTCAACCTGGTTTACAAGGTTGAAAACTTTACTCTCTAACTCTCTTGTGGAAGTGTCTTTGGAAACAGAAGCATTTCTAAGTAATGTACCTGAGACACTGATCTTCAAATTATTCTCTATGTGGTTTCCAGTTTTGTAAGAAATGTGGTCTTTTCATATGGATATTAGTTACCCTCGTACCTCTCTTCCATCACAGTTCTGAAATTTTGTTGACTCTTCATTCTGGCCAGGCTGGATGCATTGCCATCTGTTTTTCTTTGGGGTTATAGACATACTTCTAACATACTTAAGAGGGCATCAGGGTGACAATACTAGCTCACCTGAAGCTTAAAAATTACAATGTCTATTCTCCCCAAAACAGACTTTCCTTACAATGGAATTCTTGTTTAACCCTCGTATGAAAAATGTATTTAAAAGCCTTATCAGTTTAAATAAATGGAGATACTATTTTTCCATGCTATGTATTATGGATTTTTAAATAAAGAAATAATTTTTGTTGTGAGACTCTCATCCTTTATCTTGTACGCATGGTACATGGTACATTGACTTTTGCTGTAATGACTTGTAATATACCAATTACTTTGCAGTATAGTTCCTCTTAGTAAGGCAGGTAGGCCACAAAAGTCTGCTTAATGCAAGTCAAGCAGGTTATTTGCATTAACCAGGAACTCTTTACAGGCCCTTCTAGGAAAACAAGCTTCGAGGGATTAGGACACATACACACAGTAGATCTTTAGGCTTTAGTAATCCTTTCTATCTCTAGTATGGTAAACCTATGCCAGTGATTTTAGACACTGAGTGCCCAAACTGTGCGCATGCATGTCCAAAGGTGTGTGTGCATGCTTGCATGTGTGGACGTAGTGCAGACATGCCCATGTGCACATGCACACGGACATGCACACACATATGCAATGGAGACCAGATGGCCGATGGGAGGTAGGGCATCCCAACACCAACAGCGTGGCAAGAGGTAAGATTTTTCTTTCGTGAGCTTCCGTTTCGTCGTTTGCAAGGAAACAGAAGGTGACAAAAGAAACGCCACAGAGGTGACTTGAGATGACAGCGCATGTGCCTGAGATGACGGCGCATGTGCCAGCAGAGAGGGCTCTGGGTGCCCTAGGTTTGCCATCACGGACCTATGCAGATCAGTAGCTGAATTCCTGGGCAAACACATTTCTCTGCTACTTGAAGCAGGCAATTTTGGAGACTTTTCTTGTTTTGAATCTCAGCTGTCTGGGAGGAAGTTATGAGAAGAAATATCCCAGTATCCAGGAGAGAATATATTCTAATCCCGACTTGTCCCTGCATTAATAATTATGCCTCAGGTCTTTAAATGAATATCAAAATTAACTATGATTTCATAGTTATTTACATACACTGAAGTAAACAGATGCTTTACCTTGCGCTTCAGTGCTAAATTTGTATACAATATTAAGATGCAACAAACTATTTACTGTACAACCTTTTCCCCAAATAGTTCACATTGGAGCCTTTTTATAAGGATTTTCTGGTTAGTGTGTGTACTCTAACCAACCACTCGTTTACATGTGTTAAAATCCAGGCCAGGCTGGGTAGAGGAATCAACTGTGGCGCCAGCACTGTAAACATCTGGTGGATTCAGGAACAGACCCTGTAGGAAATGGAGTTCATGGGCCTGGTTAAAGGAGCTGTCACATGGTATCTGTAACGCTTAATCAGGACTGGGATTTTTGCAAACAAGACTTCTCTTTCTCCTCTTGCTGCAAACAGAGCTCTTTTCTTCTAATGGTCGGAATTTGTCCATTAGAAAGGTTGTAAGTAACAAAGACTTCTTTACACAGTAGCTTTGGCACAACTTGGCACACACTGTTGTGTAGGAGGGGCTTTTTCAGAGCAAGATGCCTTCCACACAGTATGTTGTTAGTTGTCTGGCAAATAAGATTTCTGAAGGGAGAGAATCCAAACCGAACCAAATGCCTGCTCTTTGGAATTGTAAGTTATGGAATTCTTTTTTTTTTTTAAAGGTATAGTTGTTTTTAAAATGAGCCTGTGAGAAAAATGTATTTGCATAGTTAGAGGCAAAGAAAGCTATGAAATTATGAGCTTTCTGGACAAGGGTCAACTAAAAGAAACATCAGCATTTTCCAATGGTTTTCTAATGATCAACTTGTTATACTTACTCCTCCTTCATGTTTTAACTTTAACTATTTAATAATATCTTTCTCTGTTTTGAGATGAAACTTTTACGTGACATATACAAGTAATTTATCCATAAATCAGTTTTTTCCCCCTCCACTAGGCAGTTTCTAAAGCAGTCATGCCAAGGCTTACAAAAGTTGAATTGGCTTTATTATCAGCTTGGAAAAAGATGCTTCATTTGGATTTCTGCCTTTGCAAAATGTATCTTCCGTATGCTTTCCGCATCCTGGCATTTCTTGAATGGAAAATGAGAGCCATGCTCATATATTTGTGTATTTAATAAAACAATGTGGATATAGGCTGAAAAGTCAAAGCTGTAAAAAGAACCGTTATTGTTCACTTTCTTGATCCACTGCTGATAGTAGAGTATGGATGCTTCCACTCTTTTGTGATACTTTAATAGGAAGTATTGAAGAGTCTTGTTGAAGGGGGGAAGTTGCTTCAGGGTCTTTGGGAAATCCATTTTCATCCACATCTTCACTGCTGCTTTCTCTAGAAGTGTCTTCTGTTTCAATGATGCCTTTTAATTTTGCCAGCAATTTGTTAATGGAGACTGCCTATTAACATAGAAAGAAATACTTTTGTTTAATTAACTTTAAATAATCTACATTGTTTCCTAATTTAAGGAGAGTGTGTTGCCCTGTAGTTTTAGTACTGGCTAGACTGTATTAATTTTATTTATTAAATTTGTATGTGTTCATCTCCCCCATAAGGTGACTCTGGGCATTAATTACAACAAAATAATAAATCACTGGAAAGTTAACTCTATGACAGAAATAAGTAGGGGAGGCTGACATTAAGGGTGGGCTGCTGGGGGTTCACAAGGGTTTGGGAGAACCTCTAGCTAAGATTCTGTGCAGTTCAGAGAACTCCCAAATCCCATTCCTGGCTGGATCTGCCCACCCCTTCCCTCTCAGAAGTCCCCACTCAGCCCGTTTTGGATGCTGGTAAGTGCAGGAGGCACAAATGCTTGGGGAGGGCAGAAAACAGGTCTACCAGAAGTTCAGGAAGGCCAGAAACAGGCCCGTTTCTGGCCTCCAGAGGGCCTCTGGAGTCTGGGGAGGCAGTTTTAACCCTCCCGGAGGCTCAAAGAAAACCTCCAGAGCCCAGGGAAGACAAAAACGGCCCACCACCATGGTGCAGGAGGCCGGCTAGGCCACGTCCACCCAGCAACTGGGCAGAGAACCTTTGCTAACATTTTTGAAGCCCACCCCTGGTTGACATCTATATCTAGGCTGGTGATCGGGTGCCATAGAACCAAAAACTGAACTGAACTGAAACTGTTCCTCCTTGAACAACCAGGGATGGGGAATTAAAGCATCAAGATGGGTGATGCCCATCTTGAAAAAGGGGTAGTCTTTAATTATGTGGTTGTGGCTGCCACCTGGATGTTTTTGGCCTATTCCAGATTACCATCATCTGTGATGACTGGCTTTCACTTCCTTCTTTTTTCATTCACAGCTCAAAAAATGCAATGATCTAATCAAGTTTGAAGGCATTGTTAATGGGGATAATGGTGGCTTCACCTTCTCCATGCTCTTTTTTCCTTCTTCAAGCCTACCAGGAGGAGGAATGAAAAAGATGAAGAGATGAAACATCTCTATTTTTGTGGTTGTTATAGCCTTCCACTTCTTTGTAGAACCAACAAGTAAATTTATATACTAGGGCACGGGTGTCAAATTCGTCATGTCACATTGTCGTCACATGACATTTCTTGACGTTTTTCCATTTACAGAGGTGGGGTGGGCGTGGCCTGCACATGATGCATCCGGCCCACAGACCACTAGTTTGACACCCCTATACTAGGGGATCAGTCAAATCCAGAACTAGCTGAGATTCTGGATCAGACAACTTAGTTTAGGCTGTTGTGCTGCTGTGTGAACATATTCATTGTATTTTATTCTGATGTTAGCTACCTTCAGTGTAACCTTTGATAGAAAGTTGATATATTATACAAGTCAAATTAATTTTCTATGTCATTTTAATGGCTTTAATATAAGTTAGTAACAATTTTTTTTCCACCGGTTTTTACTGTTGGTTTTTATTGATTTGATTTTAATTTTGATTAAAAATTTGCTATCACATTTTATATTTTATAAGCTGTTTTTGTAGCCCACATGGAGCAGAGTATACATTTAATAATATAATATGAAAAAATATATATGTAGGACTTCAACCAGAACCTTGAAAGAAGGGTGGGCTGTATCTTAACATTTTTAAAGACACAATGCTATAACTGTTTTATTAAATCTTGCCCCTTGTTAGGGTAAGACATAAAACCTACAAGTATATTGGCTGGGTTCTTGTAGAAGAGTCGGTAGAGCTGGGAACAGAGTTAAGCAAGTTATCAGTCTAAAGTTACCGTATTCCCACAAAGGTCTAAATCAAATCCCTCTTGAATCTGTTGACCCTTATCTGTAAATTTAGTATTAAACTCTAGTTGACTAGATTTTCATGTATAGGTTTGAGAAATAAATCTTCTGAACTGCAACAACGTATGGCCCTGATTCTTTGCATCTCATATTTCCTTCATCAACCTATGTCATTTGTAATCATGGTCTGTAGTATAATCATGGCATGTGGGATAGTCTAGAATTGGTTGTATTTGCGAAACACATTAATCATAAAACAAGGCTTACTATTCACAGTTCCCTAAACACATCTAAACTATAACCAAACCATTTTAAGGCTTAATGTGATGTTTGAACTCATATTTTGCTCATTAGTAAATGAGACATGAGCTCTATTGCCAAAATTCTATAATTATTGATTATGAGTTTAATTGCTGAGAATAAAATGCTATTTTGTATGAGAAAAGCTAGAGGAACACTAGTTTATTAACCCACCAGAAAAATTAGTGCTGCATAAGAAGCACACATTAAGCTGGTAAGGGCAGCCTTTGCTGGGTAGGAAATGATATCATAAAAGAAGACTTTCTTGTCCTGAAGAGAGAAAACAGAGAAAAAAAATCATTCATTCATTTTATAATATAGTGGGTGTGATCATTTCAATTTTAAATGCCACAGTTTTCAGTAAAAGAATTAAGGTATTGTTTCTTAATAGTATAACAAACTGTTAGACAACATATGAACTGTCCTTTATACCAAGTGAATTGAATTCCTGGTATTACTAATTAAGGGACATGGTGCAGCTCTTTCATCTTTTTTTTCTCTTTCTAGTAGAGGAAAAAAGGATAGATGGTGCTAGGAGAAAATAGATGGAGTTTTATCTGAAAAAGACAATGCAGTTTACTGATTCCCTGGAAATCACTTTCTAGTGATTTAGCAAGTTGTTCAGCTTATATACCAAGTAAATTCAACCATTCACTAAGCCATTAAGTAGCAGTCAGAAGTTTAGCATGCTGTCGTCCTTGATTAACGACTGTCTTATTTAGTGACTCTTCTAAATTACGACAGCACTGAAAAAGTAACTTTACAACAAGTCCTTGCATTTATGATTACCGCAGTATCCCCGCACTCACATGGTTGTCATTTCTGCACGTCACAGCTGATTTCTGAGAAAGTTAATGGAGAAGCTGATGATAAAATTACAAGTCACAGCTATATGATGTCTCCCCTTATGACCATATATTATTTGCTTAATGATGGCAGCCAGAGTGATGTTAATTGAGCATGGTCACATGATGTTTCATGTAACAAATGTGTCACTTAGCAATGGTGGTTGCTGATCCTAATTATCGTATTTTTTGGAGTATAAGATGCACCAGAGTATAAGACGCACCAAGATTTTGAAGAGGCAAATTTTGCACTCTGCAGACCTCCCAAAAACGGCCCATTTTTTGTCAAAAAAAAGGACATGCATAGCCTTTAGGAGGCTTGTAGAGTACTCCTGAGGGCTGGGGCTCCCAAAAATGAGCAAAAACCACCCTGTTTTTCGCTTTTTGCCCTCCCCAGCCCCAGGAGCTCTGGAAGCCTCCTAAAGGCTATGCACAGCCATTTTTACAAAGTGAGTGGGGTTTCGGGAGGCCACAAATGCTGTATTCAGTGTATAAGTTGCACCCAGATTTTCACCCTCTTTTTTGGGGTAGAAAGGTGCCGTCTTATACTCCAAAAGATATGATACATTAAGCATTACCTGCATTGTGTGAATGTAGTGATCAAGTAACTAAATTAAATTGGGCCAAGTTATCTGTCCCCCATGTAATTTTGAGATAAGGGAAAGTAATTTTTTTTAAAATATAGGACTGCCTAACACAGAGACTGTCATGGCAATCTAGGCCATAAAAGATGATTTATAAATTATTAGGGCTGGGTTGACACAGGCTAAGCTAAATCTATAGGGTTAGACTGTTGCTTAGTGATATGTTTGACCGTAGCACTTTCAGAGTAGAACTTATTTAAGACTTTGGGAGGGATAGCTGAATTTACCTACTTTTATCTTATACAAAGGCTGCTTGGGAGTATTTGATGTTCTCAAAAGGCGTCGTGATAAGATATTTAACTCTGTTAATTTTCTAACAAGCTGCGGCTGTAAGACTTTTGCAATGGAGTTTGAAGACTGTGATAGTGTAGTTAGCCCATTCATAATGATAGCTCCATGAGCTGAATAGAATACCCTGGTGATAACTGACTCAGATTTCTGCACCCTGGGATTTGTTTCCTGAAATAGAAATAAAAAAGCTTTTAGATTTAGAACAAAAATAGTCAATTTGTTGTAAGAAAAATAGTTAACATGTAGTTACTTGCCTATGTGTTGACTATATTTACACACACACACACACACACACACANAAATACAACGAAATTGGTTTTAACCTCACTGGTGCAAAATTATAACAGAAACGAAAAAAGAAAGAAAAAGAAAAAAAAACTAGCTTGTGCATGGAATGATTGTATATATTGATATATTTTCCTCCTTTGAGCATTCTTCTTTAGATGACTCCATGTTGGCACTGAATTGGTTCAATAAGTTAATTACATTCAGGGACTCACCAAATGGATCAGAATGAGATACCTTAAAACAATTTTATTTCATTAACCACCATCACTCTTGGCTGAATAATGCTTATTTTATTTTCTTTCTGTTCTGTTTCACGATAGATTTATGGACTTATAAATTTTATCTTCAGAATTTGTGACCATATTTGCTTTTCAGCTAAAGACAGCTGACCAGTGTGGCTGATTGCCAAAGACTTGATTCCTTTGGGTTTTGCAGATCTCACATGAGAAGGAAACTTGGGTCACCCTTGTGATTCTATCTAAAAGGACTGGTGGATCATGTGTTTACAAGTCTGCTTTAAAGTGAATTCACTGATGATGGCATCCAATCCAATTTATTTTGCAAGGGACACCTCAATAGATAGAAAAGTTCTCCACTGCTTCCCTGTAGCCCAAAACGTTTTCTCAAAATCTGCTACAATATGTTGGGAGACCCCCCCCCCCAAAAAGATTTTCAGCAAGAACTGGAAGACCTTATGAGGAAGAAGAGAGCATATTTCTTATGGTGCACTGTTAGATTTTCCCCTTAGGTCAATTGTTTTTATTTTCATGTTAATTTTTAATGTAATGATTTTTCTTGCAGGATATTAATGAAAGCAGTATGGTCAAACCATCTAAAAGGAAGGAAATGTCTAGTCCAATTTATGTTGGTAGAGAAGATGATATTAAAAAGCTCCAGAGAACAACAGCCACTGTCCACGGGAGACAAGTTGTTATTTTCTACCATGGTGGACACTTTTACGCTCTGGATTGCCGCTGTTACCGTAAGAACTTAAAAATGCATTGAGGTTTATAGAGGTTATACTTTAATATAGCTGTTAATGTAGCTACATTCAATGAGAATAAAGCAAGTCCCTTGTTGGGTTAATGCATATATTCTTTAGTCCTGTATACTTCTTGAATAGCAAGATGCGGTTGGGAAGCTCATAAGCAGGGAATGCATGCCGTATCCCACACCTGCTTATGGTCCCCAGCCATTTGTACTCAGAACTATAATAGCTCTGAAACTAGAAATAGGGTACAACCACCATAACTAATAGCTCTGTTCTAATATATATTTTATCTTTTAATAGATGCAGGAGGTCCCTTACATCTTGGTGAAATAGAGGTAGGTAAACACAATAGCCACTTAATTTGATAGCCAATGTGGTAACCAATATTTTCATATAAATGAAAGCATCAAAAAGCGGGGACATTCCAAATACAATTAACTAAATGATCTAAATGATCAGAGACAATTTGTAGGCAGACAATATATGGCTATATTTCTAATGTTTATAAGGTAATGAAAAATGTTTTTGTTTTTCCCTTGTGTCTGTAGGAAATCAATGGGCAATCATGCATTATTTGTCCTTGGCATAAGTATAAAATAACTCTGAATACAGGTGAAGGATTGTATCAAGCAATAAATCCCAAAGAACCATCTGCAGTACCCAAGTGGAAATCAAAAGGAGAAAAACAAAGGACTCACAGAGTCACCGTGGACAACGGAAATGTTTATGTGACTCTTTCAGATTTAATGGAGTATAAAGAGTCTGACTACTACGCTGAAAAATACAAAACAGAAAAAATTGCAGAGAAATAAACTTTTAAATAACATTTTGCTTCGTAGGAATGAAAAAAACTGTTGAATATAGATAGGCCTCTTAAACTACAATTGAGCTCAAAATTTCTGTTGTTAAGTGAGACATTTGTTAAGTGAGTTTTGCCCCATTTTACGACCTTTCTTGTCACAGTTGTTAAATGAATCTGGCTTCCCCATTGACTTTGCTTGTTAGAAGGTCGCAAAAAGTGATCTTATGAGCCCGGGACGCTCCAACCGTCAAAAATATGAACTAGTTGCCAAACATCCGAATGTACAACACGTGACCATGGGGATGTTGCAATGATCATCAGTGTGAAAAACGGTCATAAATCACTTTTTTCAGTGCCATAACTTTGAACAGTCACTAAATGAACTGTGGCCGGTCAAGGACTACCTGTATAAATTCTGGTCTTGTTATCTAAAAGGAATTCTGTTTCTTGGTGATATATTCGCTTAGCAACACTCCCTTAGTGATATAGGTTTTTATCCAATATCTGCAGGATCTTGGGAGAATTATTTCCAAAATATTTTCAAAATGAAGTAATCCAGCTGGGACTTAATTATTCAAACATTTCTTCCTGGCAGCCTCCTACGTCCACACTCAGATCAAGGACCTCATTTCACAACTAAAACCCAGAATAGACATGGAAAGAGATGTTTTCCACCCCACCCCACCCCTGATTCATTAAGGTAGAACAAGGACTGGTGAGTTAGGGTTGATTGTCCTATTCATTCCTATAAACAGCTCAGCATGTTTTCCTTCTGAGTGGAGCTATGTCATTATTGTTCAATCCTATGGAAAGAAGAAACTAGTTTATGCTGCCATTTTTGACCCATCAGCCAGCAAACTAAATAATAAATGTACTTACAACTATTGAACCAGACTGCAAGTGAAAACATCTTAGTTGAGGAGAAGACACAGTTTAGAGTGGACTAATCAACTCTTAACCACCATCTGGCCATCCACTGTTTAACTGATAAATACTCTTTCCAGCCCAAAGCCTTTGGGCTAATTCCTAGGGAGAGGATGTGAGACAAAAGAAGAAAATCTTAATAGATGAAATGTTGCTTCTTTTCATTTAATTCCTGCACTCCAACATTACTTTGAGAATTATATGCTTCTCTTGGGGCTGGAATGACCATGGTGGATCTGAGTGTGAGACAGAAGGGCATGAAGCAGTGGTGCAATTCAGCCGATTCTATCCAGTTTGGGCGAAACGGTAGCAGTAGCGGCGGGAGGCTCCGCCCACGTCCCATTTTTGATGCTCTGCACGTGTGCAGAAGGTCCTGTGCATATGCATTCACATTTGAAAACCGGTAGCGAAGGTAAGTTGATTTCACCCTTGGCATGAAGAGTGCTGATCCATAGAGGGGCCGAGGGTCAGACAAACTGAATGGCTGACGACGACCTGAGCACAGAGATTATTTTTTGACTTACATGTTAACAAGCAAGGGTCTTCTCTCATTCATCACTTCCCATTATTAGTTGGTCCTAGCTTTTTTCTGTGCAGTGGAGATCATGATCGTGTCATCTCTCAGTAGCGAGAAGAGCACTGAGGGCTTTGTCACTTTCTGCTCTAAGGAAAAACTAGTAAAATAGGTTCAGAAAATTTAATTCACAGTATTTGTGTGACATCATCATAGTATTAATAATAGGAAAATTAAAGAGAATGCTATCAAGTAGGTATACCCTTGGAGGAGGAGCCAATGTCGCAATGTTACATCATGCGGACTCGACAGTCCGAATCCGCCGATGACACTTTTGCCCCTGGACGGTCTGGCAGGACCTAAACCGTCCCGAAGAGACGATGACTGGGAAGACAAGACCTTGCTGGTCGCAGGGACATCACAAAGTCCCTGATTGACCCAAGGGAAGCGCTTCCAACCGGCGGCAAACAGGCAGTCCCCCCAGCTGACATAGTTGGAGACGGCTCCAGAAAGAGAAGTGAAAGTGTTTTCATCTGGTGAGGTTTTCTTTGTTTTCTTTTAGAAGATTGCCCTAAGAAACTCTTTTCTTAAGCTAAATTAGTCCCTTAAGCAAGAACAAAGCGGCATATTTAATCCCTATTGGACTNAAACAGCTGTATTCTATTTATAATGTCAGTTATTATTTCAATTGAATAAGCATCACTATTTCTAGTAATCTTATTAGCCTTTTAACATAGGATTACCACTGAAAAGCAGAATAAACTGTATTAAATAAGAGGTTACAGACTCAGCATGAATTTATTTATTGTTCATTCACTAAATGCTGTCAAGATTATTAGTGCACTTCAGAACTGTAGCCCATGTTCATCCACTGAAAACCAGGAGGGAAATGTCAGCATATTTTAGAAAAACAGATACACCAAATCTTGTTGTTTGAGAGGGAGTGCTCAATGCTAAAAAATTTAAAAACAAACAAAAGCCATCCATGGAGAATAGTTAGCAATAGAGTAGAGAGGGGAAAATGGAACTGGAAATGGGGGACAGAAAATGGCCATGTTTCCTTGGAGCACACAGAGGTTTAAATTTTAACAAAGGAGTGTCTGCTAACCTTTTATTTCCCATCTGTACATAAATAATACACAGTTGGAAGCCTGGGGACAAATCCACTCTTCCTGTTGTACTAGTGCAAACATAAGCCACCCGTCTTTCTGGAGGACTGTAATACTGTATATACAACCTCTTCCTCAACTCACCCCTAGTCTGCATTGTCTCAAAAGGTATCTTTCCCACTTCTTACAGACAAAGGGATAACAATTTATGCACTGCACTTGGCGGCATTGAAAGCAGAAGCCTCCACTCTCTGATTGGGTAATATTTATTGTGGTTGGAATACCCCTTTCCTGTTGGTCTTTGTCTTGCAAAGCCATTTCATCTTGAGCTGCTGAACCCTGCTCAGAAGGAACCTTCTTAGGGTTTATTACACTGAACCACTGACTTCTCTAAAGGGGACAAGTTCACATAACCTGATTGCATGTGTCATGTGTGATCTTATTATGAATTAGCTTCTCACTTATGCTGTCAGATTATACTTTGTCAGAGAGTGAAAAACCTTTGCCTTGGTTTATTATTTATTCTTCATTTTTAGAAACAAATAAGTGCCATATGCACTCAGGACAACCTGCTTTAAAGTAAAACTTATTTTCTTGTCCTTTTCCAGGAGAGTGTCTTGATTCTGCTGCCTATATTGCTATCCTCCTGCTTCAACAGTACAGTGGTTAGCCTGCTTGCATGTCTTATCCTGCCTGTGGGACTGATCTAGCTAGTTTTAGCCAGAGAAAGTCCATTTTGTTAAAAAAAAACACCAAACCAAACCAAACCCAAAAGCCTTCATTTTGCTCACTTCTGCCCGTAGATGTTTTTTCTCTGGGCCTCTTATTCTTGGGCCTCACAGCCTTGCCCTAAAATTCTGGGAAGACTATGTGATACCCTTATCAGGGAATTTGTACGCAGCTGAGTCAGAGTTAACTTCCGCTATCCTTTCGCATATAAATTCGTTTGCATACTTCATTACCAGCTTTATCAGTTAGGGACAGAAGGACAAGGGCTATAATATTTTAGTAATGAATCTACTTCTGGGAGGGCCATTCTCTAGCAGGGCTGTGAATACTTTGTCCCTCATTGCCTATTGCCTGCTAATGACCATGTTTTCCAAGGGTGCATAAAAGCTATGCTAATTTGTGATTTAGTCCCAAGATTACAACTCTTTGGGCTATACAGAATAAAAAGCTTGCAATTTACCACATTGTGTTATAAATTGGCTACTTTCCCAGCAGGGAAAAACAAATTCAGCATTCTGGGGTGGGGGTGGGGGCAGTTCATGTTTTGACCAACAGGCTTGTGCAAGTGCCAGGTTTGAAACTTGCCACCTCAACTTCATTTACTATCCCCCACCACTCCCCAAACTATCCATTTTTTTCACAGTACTTTTTTTTGAAGGTTAGATTGTTGGTGGAATGTTGAAACTCGTATTTATTTAGTAATATGATTTATTTGATTTATTGTTTAAACTCAGGCATCAGTGCTATGCTTATCCATTTGGACTGGTGGCAGCAAGTATGGTGAAACAGGGTACCATTGAACTAATTAAAAAAACAAAACAGAAGAAGCATACAGATGGTAGCTCAGGGGAAGAAAAATAATAATTTTTAAAAAATGTTCTGGCCCACTTTTAAATTGAGGATCTAATTGAAGATACCAAGTTGTATATCTAGTCCTCCAGAAAGACGAGTGGCTCTTCAGATTGTGAATCTAGTAATACGTTTGAAACTGTTAAAAATGATGTAAAAGTACAGATACAAATCATACATTCATAAAAGTATAAATTATTTTGTCTCTAAATAAAAGCATAATATAAACCATTAAAAAATTAAAGCAGTGTATGCAAGCCAAGCATACATCTATTGAAATAATCTTAATAATTCATATTCTAGTGATTCATAAATCAGTTCCACCTTTCAATAAATTTGATGAGTACACTGCCTGGAAGATTTTCTTTTTCAAAATATCAGGAGTATTTTTTAAAAATAACTTTTGATTAATTTTTAATACAGAATAAAACCTAAAAAGAACTAATATTTAGAATGAAAAAGGGAAGAAATGAAAGAAAGAAAAAGAGCAAAGACAAAGGTGCAGACATTTTTAAAAAGAAAAAGAAGAATTATAAAGAAGTAACCTCCAATTTTCTTTTATAGCAATTATAAGTGTAGTGTATAAACCTCTTTCAAATATTTCTACTCAACCTTGCTTCGTATAGAAGAGCTTGGGGAGGGGGGATTTTAATGATGTGTTAGCTACAATCCCAGCATTTTTGAAGGCTTGTGTCTTGAGAATTATGAGAAAGGGGTATAAATCTGAAAGTTAGAAATCATCTTCTTGCCAATCTTATGAGACTGATTATTTTCCAAAGCCAACATTAGCAAGCTCCAAATAGTGGGATATTGCAACATGTAGAAAAATTGAGATCACTCCTTCCTTGTTAGTTAAGTTAAGCTTATCCTATCTTTCCAAATTAAAGTCTTTAAAAAGGTGAAACATTAGAAAATGCAACTCTTCATCTTCCAAATTTCAAGCTATTGCTAGAGAATGTCTCAACATCAATGTGCTGTAACTGGGCCATAGGTTTCTATTGTAAAATAGTTAGCAATTTTTTTCTTCCAAAGGCTGTTCAAACATTAAATATTGTTGCATAGAAAGGAATCTCTTATCCAATAATGACATTTGTTATTACAATAGTCTCCTGTATGTTATGTTTTTTAAAATAAAAGCAGGGGTGAGATGCTATTTAAAATGCATTTGGAAACTTTATTTATTTATGCCTGTCAGTTTTAACTTGGGCAACTGCCTAGACAACTTCATACAATTTGGTGACAAATTGCATGAAGTTTCAGAAGTGGTTTGATTTGCCTTTAAGTTATATAAATGGTGAAATCCAGGCTATGTCAGGCCCGCAAAAATAAAGACAAGTAGAGATACTTCTAAACAGTTTCCTCTATCAGGGAAATATTGTTCCTTACCTATATAGGCAGAAATGTTTCCAAACTAAAGTAACTACTTAAATCACTAAAGATATACTCTGAGAAGTTCTAAGGAGGAGCAATCTTGACCCTCTTTCTCCCAATCAAACTATCTAAATTTTGCTGTCTCTTGATCCTCTGGAATGTAGACCCTCCTTTGTGGGAACCTAGACTACATTCCAGCATAGGTTGACTGTTCTATGGCCAGATGGGCTTGTTCTGTGAAAGGAGGAGGAGGAGGAGGAGATTTTTGTATAACCCCCCCTTGCAGCACACTGCTCCTGAGGCTCAACTCAGTTTTTCAGACAAATATCTGAGGAATCAAAGGAGTCTGTAAGAAAAAGTTTTTGCAAAAGTCATATCTAAAACCCTTGCTTCAGTGTAAGACATCACTAAACAATTTAAAACAAAAACATATATGGATATATCCAAAACAAAAGATTTGTAGTCTTCAGATCAATCTCCTATTTTCAAGAAAACTGACACAATCTTTTTTCAAATGTTGACATGTCTATCTGATTGCATTACTTCAATTAGGAGTTTCTTTATTTGTATTGACATTTAGTGACCTATGGATCTTTGCGGACCAGGTCTGGTAGCTCCAAATTTACAAACTCCCATGAACTTGGGTTTTGGCAATGTCTTTATGATGGATAAATGTTGTTGTTATGATATTCTTTATATGGGGATAAATAGATTTGTCCTTCAATTGTATGACTAACATCAAAGTTAGTTAAACTTTACAAGTTAAAGCAGATATTTTGACTACATTGTATCTACTTATAACAATAGCTTTCACCCTCGCAATTGAGCAACTCCATTCATGTTACCTGTCTAACTATAGTTAACTGTGGGGTATCCAAGCCAGTTTCTTTGTTTGAACAACATACTGAACCATAAACTGATCACAGAGTTTGCAGAACTTTAAGCCTAAAGTCTGGTTGGCTAGCTGGTGGCCCAATGTTGGTGGCTCAATACAATGTGCCTGTTATACTCAGCACTGTATGCTATTACATTATCATATTGTTTTATGAAAATGAAAGCAATTTCACAAATGTGTTGCACACAAGGAATAAATATTGTCATTTGCTAAAACATCATTCTTCAACTTGATTCCCTGCCACATACTTTTGCATAGATATTCTCATGTTGAGCCAGCATGATCATTGCTTAGTGAAAATTGGTCAACAATTGCCAAGAGTTTTATTTCACACGAGGTTCATAATTTAAAAAAAAAATCTATCCATTCTGTTCTATTAAAACAAAATAGTTGTAGCAACCACTCAAACCAATATAACTGATAAAAAATGTTGCAAGGAGACAGGGGAGAGTAAGGAGACAATTACTGTATCTACTTCCCTTATTTCTATATCTTTTGCAAGCTGTTATACAAATTGGCCACTGTTACAGAGATATATTCAAGATCACCTTTATTCTAGTATAAATTATATATGTACATTTTTAGTATGATATAAAGGTACAACATGGATACCTGCATCACTGAATAATAAAAAAAAATTGTTGCTTTTAATCATATTTATTTCTTATATGACACTGTAACTTATGGTTACTCATACTAAAGAAAGTTAAACTAAATATGACATACGTAGGTATGCAGTATTGTAAATGTATTTAGTGAACTGAATATATTTACTGTTATATGGTAAATTTTTCATTCTAATCTGAGACTTTGCAAAATGAAAAGTAAATGAAATGTAACAAAGCACCTTATGGAAACGTTTGAACATTAAGATAGCGAGGAAATGCAGTAATTTAAGAAATATTACCTGGTTTGAACGTGTCAGCCTCAATAGATTTGGAAATTCATCCCTAATCTCATCTATAACTTCCAAGATGGCTCTCTGTATAACCCCAGCTGAATTGAAATATAATAATTAAAATAATAAAATTTTGATCTTCAAAATTTGATTTCAAACATGAAGTGTTGTATATTTGTAAAAAAAAATGGGTTAAATGAGGTATAATATCAGGGCTAAGGACTGAGTAGGTATCAATCAATATTTGATTACTATAGTGGGAAACCATGTTATTATGTTAAGCTAGCATTGGAAACTAAAATGCCCTTCAGGTTTTGTTAGGCCCTATTCATGAACACAGGATCCTACCCAATTTGAACCATATTCTGAAGACTATGTGATGATTATGCCCAGTATCAATATTCTTTTCTTTTTTTCTCCGTTGTGCTAGTGGTGGGCTCGGATCGGTTCAGCTGCACTAGTAGTAGCTTGGTGGCCTGAGTCGCTGGAACCAGCAGCGACCCAGGCCTGCCACGCCCCTGAAATGGTTCTCCTGGCAGCACCTTCTTTTTTGCTTCTGCACATGCGCAGAGCAATTTTAGTTGTACTGCGTATTAAACGCAAAGCACATGCAAGGCACATCCCTGAGTAAACCGGCAGTAGTCTCTACCGGAACCCACCACTGCATTGTACAGTGGCTCAGTCCCAGGAAAGTCTAATTTCCATTTTGGGGGGTTGAACTAGAATGACCCCTCCAACCTTACGATTCTATGATTCTCCTGATCTCACTTTTAAGCAGTAATTTGGAGAAATCAAAAATTTTTGGCATCCAGTTAGCAAAATGGTGGTATGGCCTAAGGACAACTTCTTATATGTATAAACTTTATAGTCAATTTTTAGCCAGATTGATGAGATCTGCCTCCTGTTTCCAAGAGGTTAATAATTTGGCTGGACTAATTTATTGCTAAATTCCTTTACTGTTGACTAAAATTGTGGAGGCAACTGGAGGCAATGAGTTTCAGAAATTTCTGTAAGGAAAAATATTGTGGGAACTTAGCCCATCTCTCACATATTTCTAAACGTATAGGCAGTTTACTGAAACTTTTCGCTCAATGACATTTCTCTTCGAGTTTGGTTATCTTAAGCCAAATTTAACAAAGTTATGTATATGTGTGCACATATGATAGAAGCTGGAGTTCTTTTAAATGTTTGAAAATTTAAGTTGAAAATATTCTTAGACTTCATACCTTGTCCAGCAAATTTCCTGACAATCTCTCCACATATCCAGCCAATTGGCCTAAGGGCCATTTTTTTGATGCTTGCTACTACTACTAAAGTTAGAGGATGGTGTCTTCCAATCAAACGGATAGTTCAAACCACAAATGACAGCATCCCATACATATGCATATCTCTACCTTCAAGGCAGGAGACCTTTATGAGAACATAATGTACCTCTCAAACACAGTTACAGCCTGGGGCAATCAGTGTGCCTCATGTATACCAAATTAGCCTTTTTAACAGACAGGACTTTCAAATAGTTCCAATATACTGGAATGGAGGAATGTATGAGATAATCTGAAAACTGGTACAACATCAGCAGATGTATAATCATTAGTAGACTCAAACCCAAAATTCAAAACCAGTTGGGGGGGGGGACAAGATTTCTGGGTTATTCAAAATTTAGAACAAATAAAATATTCCAAATTTCATACTCTTTAATTTAAAAAAATGTAACTCTCTATTTCTCAAGATCAGGACTCAAGATTTCCTGATTTCCATCTCATTTTGTATAAAAATATTTCAATTTTAGAACCCCCCAAAAAATATTTTTTCATAATTCTTTCCTAAATTTCTTCCTTGTATCCTCTAATTGTGATTGTTTTCACATGAGATTACAGACTAATGTGAATATTTGTTACTATAATAACTAATAATATTGTAATAAAAGTTTGAAATACCGTATGTGTTATTTCCAGAGAAATATATATCTGTATTTTTCAGAGTATAAGACACACATTAGTTTTGGGGGAGGAAAATGAGGGGGGAAAAAGTCTGTCTCTGCCTACCAGCATCCATTGGTATTCATCTGGCTAGCATCCTTGCAGCAAACAGTAAACAGCCTGATCAGCTTCAGCACGTTATTGCAGTCTGATTCAGCACGAGCAGCTGATTGGTGGGTGGATCATCCTCCCGGAATACCCACAATCAACTGTTTCAGGCTGTGGGGATCGCCACAGACCATCGCGTCACATTTTGGGCCCCCAAAAGCTGTTTTACACCCAATTCAGGCTGTGGTGATCGCCACAGCACATTGCCACCAATTACCTTCACGCATTGTGTTCAGCCTTCATGCGCCCCATTTTTGGCCTTGTGTCGCATTTTTGGGCAGTTTCAGATCCCCGCCGCCACCAATCCCTGCCTCCTGCAACCACCCAAAAACGCAACATGCAGAGCCGAAAAATGGGGTGTGCGGGAAGTAAAAATGTGATACGCAGAGGTGGTGATCAGTGGCAATGTGCTGTGGCGATCCCCGCAGCCTGAAATGGGTCTAAAATGGGGTGTTCGGAGGTTGAAAATGTGACTCAGAGATAAAAAACATGAGGTATGGAAGCAGTGATGTGCTGTGGTGATCCCTGCAATTTGGAACAGGTCTAAAACAGAGCCTGCAGAGTCCGAAAACAGCCAGTGGGTGGGCGAGGCTTCAGCAATATTCAGCATATAAGGCACACCCAAATTTTCACCCTCTTTTAGGAGGGAAAAAAAGGCGTCTTACACTCCGAATATGGCAGTGGAAAAGCTCATTTGATTCAGAGTTGTACATTAAATATCTTAGATGTGAAAGGCAAATACAAAAAGCAGTATTTATGGAGATTCTCAATGTTACAAAAATAACAACACTCATTATTAATGACTAGTATAGCACACTGCATTATACAATACACCAATACTATATCTGATTATTCTCATTTAGATGAAGTAATTTCAGCAAGCAAATATAAAAGGAAAGTCGCTTTATTTTAATAATATCATCCTTTCACATGACAAAACATATTTGCAGTTTTCCATGTTATGAAATCCAGCTCAACATTTTATTTTTAAAAACCCATTGTGCATTGGCTTTGTCAAATAAAAATATATCTAATAAATAATTTACATAGTTTACTTTTGCTGGTTTTTGGAATTTCAACATTTTATACTCTTCCACAAATGTTGATTTATTAGCACATAGAACTCCAGAAAATCAATAAAATTAATTGAAAATATTGATATATATATATTTTTAAAAAGAGGTTACAATATAATGGAGAACAAAGATTTAAGTATTATTATGTCATTAAAACTACTTTAAGATTTAAAGTGTTCATTTTGAACAGATTTTGAACAGCTTTGTTGTGCTACTTAATCTACTATTACCCTTCATAGTAATATATGCATTATTTAAATATCAGCTGTTTTTGAATAGCTATGTACTCAATTCAAAATAATGTAATATTATTTAAGGTGGCCTTCTAAGACTTCAAATATATCATCTAATGTGCACTGAAGACATGTTAGATGTTCATCTAATTCCTGTTCCAAATAGCTAGTAATGATGCATCCTATCCAGTTATCAAACACATTATATCCTATCCCAAAACCATCTGGCACTACTGGTCCAAATCCACCATGATTAACTGCTGGAGTGCTTAGTGTACTGGTTGAAATGTTAATGTGGTTTATGTTTTTATAGGCTGGATCTGTATAAATTTCAGGAATAGTTCCACCTCTGCGCTGGACAAGATACTTCAAAGCAAATAAGTGGCGATCAAATCCTTGACCTGGATAAAAAAAGAGACAGATTCATTGAATATAAAGAGTGAGTAGGATATTTATACTATGAACACATTATAGGTATGTGCAGAACATGATGAAATCAAGCACCATCTAACCATAGATTTATTCTTAAGACTCAGCAGTACCAACAAACTCTGGACATAATCAACATTTCTTAAGTCATGGAATTGCTTCATGTTTGGTCGACTGTGGAATCTGATTGTTTGCCTCTTTATATAATTTCTGATTTCTAGTACTATGCAAGAAAACAACTCCTCCTACTTTATCATGTTAAAACATAAATATTATAACTCTCCAAAGAGAGACTGAATAGTTTTGCAGTGCGCTAAGACATGAATTAATTTGTATGCTTTTGCTTAAGTTGTTGGGTTTTATATAATTTGGGGTATCATTTAATATATAGTATATATATTACAAATATATATATACAAATGCAAATATTTGTAGCTTATAGAAATAAATTGAAGTTAAACACTGTATTATCAGTACTGCAACTCTGCATTCTGCTTTTAATATTTTGTTATCATTTTATCAATTTTTCTCCAAACTTTGTCCTCTATTCTATTCTCTATTTACTTTTTCATCTTCTCTGTTATACATTATTTCCATATTATTCCATAATATTAAATAACTATTTTATAAATGACAATAAAAATCTGAAAACTTCAGACTTTTTCATGGGATCCTAATTGGCAGTGACACACACACATATACAAACACTAGTGTGGATTTTGGCAGAAGGAATACAGGAAGTTTATGAAAATATTTGTGTCCATTTTTCACCAAACATTCAAAAACCAACCATACAAACGAATGGCGACATGAATTTTAGCTTACCTGTAACTATGGTTGCTTGAGTGATCATCTGTCCAACAAATACATGGGTTCTGTACCTGCACCAAGCTCAACCAGAAATCTTCTGTAGATGGGATTTCTGGCAGAAAGTGTATCCCTACTGTGCATGCTCCTAGAAGAAACTCCTGCATTCCCCTCAGTTCTCAAGAGACTGTCATTTCAGTTCAGAAATCAGGAATGCCTACCAAGGCAGGCACCTGTAGCAAGGAAAATTGTGGCTCAGTAAATTGTGGCATGGATGACAAGACAAAGAGCTGTAGTTACAGTTAAGCAATCTATTCTTTCATCATGGTCTCTGGGCACCACATATATGAATAATAAGTGACAGTAACAGTAACATTTGATTTGCTTCTCTCTGAAAAGAAATTGCTTGTATCAGTGCAGCTTATTATTCCATTTAAGTAATGATGTTCTTTCCATTTGCTCCTTATATTCCCAAATTCCAAAAGGGAAGGGGAGGAGACAAAATTTCTTAGTTCTGGTTATGTTTTACCCAATTAGGAGTGCTTTGATCCTGAGAGGCATTGGTGGACCAATTTTTGGCCCGGAGCATGAACTGTATGGATTCACTTCCTGCTAAAATCTCAGTTAAAGAAGGTTCCAGATGGAGTTTCAGTGCAAACGCAGAACACCTATGCCTTTTGCACAGAGACCACAATAATAAAGAACTAGTATTATTATGACATGATATACACACGACAGAAAATATTTAAATGAAAAAGGAATATTGAATTAGGTTTTCAAGTTTAATTAATTAGTAAGTAATATATTGTTTAAAAATTAGTAGTTCTTGCTCAACAATGGCAATTAAACTGGAATTTCTGTCACTAAATAACTGTAAAGTGTTATGTTACAATTTTAGGGTGTGTCAAATTTGTCAACTTTAAAATTCCAAATATTAGGGGTGCTCAAAAGTTGTGACTTGCCTTGGGAATTGTAAAGATATTTTGATTACTTTAATATAATTTAGAGGTGCTTGATAAGTAACTGCATAAATATCATAACTTTTTAATATTTTGTTTATTTTGTTACATGCCCATGTTGTTTAGTTATGGTAGTTCCAGCAGTCCTCTATTGTGAATCACTGTGGGTCATTTAAGGATCTCATGTGATTGCAACTTCAACTTCTTATTCACCTCCCCATTAATTTTGTTGCAAATTGCAATTATATGATTCTAGGAAGCTACAATGGTCAGAAATGTAGACCAGTTACCAATTGTCTGAACTGTGATCATGTGACATCATGTGTCATCATTGTGCAGAGGTGCCACAATGGCTGAAACTGTGAGGACCTTGTAAGTGTCATTTGTTCAGCAATGTCGTACGTTTGAACGATCATTAAATGAGTGGTTATTAAGAAAGGTCTCTGTAAAAGTGAATTACTCTTGTGCATGTCAGATGCAATGTATAAAATGGTCACAAATCTTTTCCAAGCAAAAATAACAATGGACCTTATAGATTTAGCATTGAATGTTATAGCAGAATTACACTATTAGTAACATGCAGACTGGCTTTTACAATGCTGAGAACGCATTATGTGAGAATGCATTATGTCTGGATACTGCAGTATCCAGACATAAGTATCCCGTATCCAGACATTTTGCAGTATCCAGACATAAGTACACAAGTACTGCTTGTGGCCTGCGGGCTGGATGTGTCCCGTGCTGGCCACGCCCACACCCGGTTTAACAAAGGGGAAAAAAGTCCTGATATGTCATGTGCCACCACCGTGACGATGTGAGTTTGACACCCCTGTGCTATTGCATGATAGAAAATAAAAGGAAAAACTAAATATAATAAATGCCAAGGCAAGGTTTTTTCAGCCCAAATTATTTAGTTTTGTTAAATTTGAAATCCTACTAAAATGGAAAGTGGACTTCATTAAACAATGGTTTATAATTACTCCCCAAAGTGAAGACATTTCTGATTCACTGTTTAGGAGCGGGACAAGACCCGAATGCAACAAGACCAGCATACCTACACCTGTGAAAATCTACGATTTGTGTGTTTGTGTGTGTGTGTGTGTCTTCAACAGTATTTATTTAGTAAATACTGAACTTTCATGGCTAGTCCTAATAACTAATCCCATATCAAGAAAAAGATAATTTCTATATACCATAATTGATTAAAAATCGGTCTCAAATAATTCTCTTTAGTCTAAATAAATACATTTTAAAAATCCAAGTCTGTATTACTAGGATGATTTTACTTAGAAATACCTGCTTGTAAAACAAATAAACCAAGATTTAAATTCAGATGCTAAAAAAGTTAAGTTTTAAATGTAGAATTATTGCAAAAGCTTCTATAGTAATTTATTTACTTTAAATATACACGTATATATGGCCACCTATCTCATCAAACACAATTATGGGCAGCCACAAGAATAATAAAACCAAATAATATATAAATCAAGAAAACAAAGACAATCAGTTGCCTGATCTACCATTCCCAATCCTCCTAATCTTTGGGCTCCAACTTTGCTCTTGAGGAAAAGCTAGTAGTTCCTCCCAGAAAGCTAAAAGGGTGAAGGCCTGCCAGATTTCAGGAAGAAAGGTGTTTCACAGGATAGGAGCTGCTATTGATATAGTAATTACTGAATTAAAGAACTTTTTCCTTTCCTTTCCTTTGTAATTATAACAATCACAAACCATAATTCCACATAATTTTTGGAAGATAAAGAATGTATATAAATATATAATACTGGAGAATTTGGGATCATCCAGATATTACTGAGCTTACTTCCTTCTATTGTAGAATCCCCAAATAGAACTGTAATCCAATGTTTGCTTATTGCTGTCCCCTCCTCTCCCAAGTCTTTCTCTAATACAAACAACTTTTGTTTAATAAAAAATAATAATCATACATCTCCTTTCAAAATATGTTGTGCCCTGACTATCCTTCATTTGGACAGATTATATTCTCTCATTTAAATAGATGCTATTCCAGTTTAACAATCACTCAGTTGTTAAGTGAAGCAGTTGCTAAGTGATACCATAACTTTACTTATTATTTTATTTTTGGCTTTTACTTTAGACTTTTGAAGGTTGTAAATGCAACAACTTGTCATAAAGTTATTTCTTCATCACTAAACAAGTGATGAATTATACAAACCTTTAATAGATATTGGTTAATATCATTAAAAACAAAATAGCCCTCAAATCTAGCTCAATTCTTGATGACACTATGGCACTTTCTTGACTGAAATGGAAAAAAATCTTGACAGTCATATTTAATTAGTGCTTGGATTGGGATCACTAGAAAATTGAAGCATGGTAGAAGTTGAAAAAAATGAATAAGGTAATATCTAGCAATCTTTTCAAAGTGCCCAGAAGGAAACAAAAAGATGTATCCTTTAACAGCTTGCAAAAATAGCATTTTTCTTCCCATAATTAAAAAAGCCTATATAGTGTAGCAGTGGTATTGGATTAGAGATGGGTAGAGTAGGATTCAAATCCCCATTCAGTAGGAAGCATAATGACTTGAGTTACTTAGAAGACAGGCAGATATAAATGAAAGAATATTTTAAAATGTTGCTACATTCTATATTTCTCTATAACCATACCAAAGCTATAACTATAACAAAGTTGGAACTAAGAACTAGTTAAACTATGTGAAAATTTCTAACTATTCTTTCCATAAAGTATATCCCACAACAGAAATCCCATTCTTTTCATATTCTATAAGGTTAAATGACACAAATTATTTGACAGTCCACGTAAGTATCATTCCTAGACTTTATCACAAGACTAAAATAAAATAACAAAGTATTGAAAAGGCCTAACCTAATGTAGCTTCCAACTGCAAGCGTCTATGGTACATCGAACATTCTTCAATCATATTTCTCTTATCTTGAATGCTATGCTTTCCTCGTTCAGCAATAAATGCTTTTGTACACTTTACAGTGTACATAGATGTTGGTCGAATTGTTTCAGTGCGACCATGTTTAAAAGCTGCAGTACTACATGCTTCATAAGAAGGAAGAAATTTTCCAAATTGATGATAAACAGCCATTTGACAAGCAAGTTGAAACACAGCATCCGGACTCAAGTTTTTATTCACTATATACTCTTTCCCATATTTTTCATATCTAAATGCTTTTACGGTAAACCTTTTCAATGTTTCATTAAATTTCATATGTGCAGCATTTATTGCAGATGTTATTGAATTATTCAGATTAAATTCAAGCTTGTCAGAAGCTGGAACAAATAAAGCTGGACTGGATTCTGGCACAAGAGCTGGATGCTCTGTACTGTCTCTATAGACTTCATTAACAAAACGCAGAATTGCAACACCATCTCCCCAAGAGTGTTCAAAATTTATTCCCGCATTTCCATCACTAGTGACAATCATACTAAAGGATTTGTCAAACCAGCGATTAAAACCATATCCATGAAGAAAACAATGAGTGAGTTCAATTTCATCTTGCGGGGAAGCATCATCTAAACAAAGGCAGAAGACTGAACTGTCAATTTTCTTCAAGTTTTCTTCATTACCGTTTTGGACAAGTTGCTGCCTTACATTTGCCCAAGTATTTCTTTCTTCAGTTGTGAGATATGAAAGTTCAAATTTAGGCAAACGATCAGCATCAAATATTATTTGTGCTAAATGAGCTTGAATTTCAGATGGATGTAGAATGTTACCAAACGGATCCAGTACTTCAAAAACATAAAGATGACCATTTCTCATCACCAACAAATGTCTTGCAAATTCACTTGTAAATAATGTATCCTTACTTAAATTAGGTATCCTGGTACTATTGAAGAGAGATTTATACTGTGACATGTCTAAAGGATAAGCATTCACTAAATATGCTCCATACCAGGATAGATTAGATGGAAGAGCACGGATGAAGTGTTTGAACATTTTGCTTTGACCCCATTTGCGGTTTACATAATATATATCTGGCCGTAAATAGTCATTCTTCAAGGTGTTAAGAAACTTTAACGATGAAACAACAAGATTGGTTGCTCTAACCACTTGATCATTGTATCCAGGTTTGGGATCAGGATTTAAAGAAATGAAAGGGTTGTAGTTGAAAACAATTGAATCTCTCGCAGAAAGATACATGTCATACCAGGGTCCTACAAAAATAAAAATAATTCAGTTAAAATACATTTTAATGTTTAATATATAAACTTGAAAGACTAGCATACAAGACCAATAAACACTAAACACACTAAACACTAGTTTGTATAGATGTATTATGGAAAATCAAACAGGTCCCTTCAAATCTGTTTCATTCTACATTTTCTTTAAATACCAGAAAAGCTGCATTTATTTTTGTAACTTTCTGTAAAACATACACCCTTTCTTAATATACTTTTTTTTAAAAAAAATCTCCAATATATGTGTCTGAATATGCTCTTAGTTATGATCTGTGAAGTCAGAAATAAAGAAGCTAGAGCATCTGGTGAATACATAATGTTTAGTTTTTTTCCTGAGCCTTTCAGTTGGCTTTTTGTACCGTGTAATTGATGTATGGCATATGACCCTCCAGCATCTCCTGAATATACATAACATAGCTTGTTAATCATAGTGCCAATACAGCACTCTATTTCCATTACTTTCACTGGATTAAATCAGTTCATTTATTTCTTATAAACAATTAAGTTTCTAACATAACCTCGATTTCTCTGACATAATTGTATAAGAACTCCCCACACTGGAAACACCTTTGATTAAATTGATATATTATTTTTCTGTAATTGTATTTAAATGTCTTGTAAAAGTGGATTAATTTCAACCTAATGTCATATAAAATTGTCACTTTTAATCAAGTAAATAAAAATAGCACATCTTCATATTTGTACAAGTTTCCTTAATCTGGCATTTAAGTTAACATAATGTGTTACTCTAGTTAGTTCTACCAAACATCTGTCTGTACCACAATCTTCCAGCTTTGCACAATGGTGCTGGGATGGCTGGCCAGGATTTGAGGCAATATTTATCAGGGGCAGGGCAGTGCTGGAGTTGAAGTAGAGGCAGTAACAGCTGGCTGAGCTCACTGGAGGCCTCTACTTCAGCCCTGATGCTGCCATTGGCAAGTGACACTAGTTGACTTTTGCCAGTTTACTCCTGCTGCTAACCCCAGTTTGCTCGGCCTGATTACACTGTTTGTAAGCAGCTGCTGGCCATGTCAGGCCTTCTTCCAAGGCTGCGTGCACCATTCCTTCTCCAAATTGCATGCCCCATTTTCACAATTTTTCAGAAATCTTCTGGTCTTCCCCAGGTCTTACAAAATCAAGGGCACTATTTGGAGAAGAAATGGTACCCATGATTTGGAGAATGAAGTCTTCCAAAGCCCTGTGAGAACGGGGTTTGTGCCGCTCTCCAAATAGGGTGCCTGTTCTTGAAAGTCCTGGGGAAGGTTTCCAAAAGAGAGTTAAGTATGGGGCATGTGGCACGGGAAGAAGGCCTGGAGTGGTCAGCAGTTGCCTCACATATAGCACAGTCAGACATCATTAACTGAAGGTTAGCTGAGTCCAAGGGAGTGTGTGAAATGAGGGTGGTGGTGGAACTATGGATTTGGTGGTGGGGTGGCTGGCCAGGGTATGAGGCTTGAGGCAATATTTCTCAGGGGCAGGGCAGTGCTGGAGTTGAAGTAGAGGCCTGGGGGCGGTAACAGCTGGCTGAGCCCTCTGGAGGCCTCTACTCCAGCCCTGATGCTGCCATTGGCAAGTGACACTAGTTGACCTTTGCCAGTTTACTCCTGCTGCTAACTCCAGTTTGCTCGGCCTTATTATATTGTTTGCAAGCAGTCAAGCACTCAAAGTTTGATAACATGACTGTGGGGCACTGAAATAGTTATAACTTCAGTCACAGATCTTAAACCCACTTTTTTAGAAATTGTAATTTTAAAGTGTCATGAATGAGTGGTCATATTTTGAGGACTACCTGTTATGTGTTACAGAACTACCTATTAGAGGTATGGAGGCGGATTGGTTAGAATGCAGTAGTGCAGGCTAATTCACTTCACTGCCAGGAGTTTGATCCTCACCGGCTCAAGGTTGACTCGGCTTCCATCCTTCTGAGATTGGTAAAATGAGGACCCGGATTGTTGTTGGGGGCAATATGCTGACTCTGTAAACTGCTTAGAGAGGGCTATAAAGCACCATGAAGCAGTATATAAGTCTAAGTGCTATTGCTATTAATATTTTCCTTTCTGAAATCTCTTGTCAAGATAACTGCAGGAACTAATCCAAGTAATCACAGGAATCAAGACAGATACCCGCACGCGCACCATTTCACACAAGTACTGATTTATGGTCAAATATTCACAGAATTTCGAGGCAATAGACAGTTGGTCCCAATATACCTTATTTTATACGATATTATTGTGCAAACCAAACATACAACAATGCAGCTTAACTGAACATAATTTGTTCTCAACCATTAAAATAATACAAAAATAAAAACAAATCCTAAATCCTAAACAAATCCAAATCCGAAAAGGCTAGTTAAGTATTATTACCTGCTGAGATACTTAAAAACAATTAATTACAATTGTTATGTTTTAGGCATTTTAATTTTTATTCATTTCATTTCTTTGTATTTGACTTATGTTTGGCAAATTTCTCAAAGTAATTAAATGAGATTTCTGAACAACATTGCAACTAAGTATTAGCTTAGCAATTCTTATAAGGTAAGCAGTAAATATTTTAATTTGCTTTTGTAAAACAACGTGTCAATTAGGGATTTTCACCTGTTTTTCACTTCTATAAAGTTTCATACATGATTCTTCTTAGTTTGTAAATGTGATATAGACAATAAGATGAAGATCATAGCTTATGAGCAGAACTTCAAAAGTAGTCCACCTCATATAACACATTAACAGAGGCATATTTTTATCATATGTTATTTCATATTTCTGTTTGAATAAAGTCTTAAGTTTCATGAGTTCATACATGAAAACATATATGATTTCAGTGAATTCTCTATTCAGAAGCAATAATATTCCATTCAAGATAATATTTTTTCAGAGTTAATCTGTAGGATCTGCCTCCTCATTACTGTAATAGGTAGGATAATGATAAAAAATAGCCCATTCTTTTTCTGTGATCCCTTTCTCATGGTCATGGAAGTTAATTAAATCATCAAGGAGCCTAATCAAGGTCCAAATTACTTGCTTGCAGATGACCTTTAAATTACTGTAGGAAACAATCAAATTAGTGTGGGCCATGGAACTCCAATGAAACTGTTTACCATCCTGTTTCCTTCATCATGAGTGAACATGCCATTGTATAACATACTTTTTAAGCTTGGATAAAAAACTGCAGTTTCAAAACAGATACTATTCTTATAAAGCCAGATCATCAAAAACAAAATACATATATTTGCTCAATAAAAATAAATAGCAAATAAAACAAGCTTAAATAATGTTATGTTTGACTCAAGAATAATCAAGAATATTAAAAACAAACCTGATATATAACTTGTATGATTATTAATCCGATCATGTTCAAGAAGATCATGATGTATGATCTTCCCCTCTCCTTTTCCAAACTCTGTAGCAATTTTTACAGTAAGTCTAGAAATTACAAATGGATTATTATTGCACTTGAATAGTCATTGAAATTATAACTAATATAATTTTAATTACATTATAATTTATTATTTAATTATAATAAAATATTCTTGTTCCAAATATGTTAGTGATCAGGAACTTTTCCAGATGCTGTGCACAATCATGTGGGAACAAACATATACCATGAAATTGCCCAGTTTTGTGAGATTTCAGTGTTTCGAGCTAACCTCAGAAGATTTTGGAAAAATTGTCTTCCACAAAACCAGTCCCTGGTGCCAAAAAAAGTTGGGGACTGCTGTTTAAAGGCATCAGGCTAGAAATTGAGAGACTCTGAGTTGTAGTCCTGCCTTAGGCACAAAGGCAGCTGCTTAACCTTGGGCCTGTCACTTTCTCTCAGACCTAAGAAAGAAACAATGGCAATCACTGCTGAAAAAAAACCTTGCTAACAAAACTGAATGAATTTGTTGCCAAGAATTAGACACAAATAAACAGAAGGAAAAAAAACACACATTAGGCTATATGGTACTGCTTTGGATTAATATACATGTACTCATGCCAAAGATTTCACTGAAAGGATAGCTTATAAAAATAAAAAAGTAGCACAATGGAAAAATTACCTAATGCTGCCTGTATTTTGTATGTAACAATAGTTCAAAGCTTATGTTCATGTGCAGAGTGTTACCTGATCACTTTGTTGGGCTCCCCTTCCCATTAGTCAAAGATGCTAAAGTAAACAGAACTAAAAAGAAAGAAAAACTGTAAACTGGAATTTCTGGTCTTCCTCTCTCATTAGAAACCAGAATAAAGAAACAGTATCTACAGTTAGTTTCTAAGATTGTTGAGGAGACCAATTAGTTTATAACTATATTGTCTCTCCTGCTAGTGAAACAAACCCAAGCAGGAGCAATTGGAAAAGATGCAAATGATCATAAATGATAGGCCAGAGTTCTATAGAATTCTGACCTAGTGCTATGTATGAATATGGATATTTAGTCCACTGATCTAATCAACAAATTTCTAGAATTCCAGACAATAACTTTGCTCAGTAAATCAGGACATATTGAAAGTTGAATCTGGGATTTTTTTGGGGGGGGAGGTCTGTGATGTGTGCAAAACAATAATTCAGCATTGTCCTATAATTCTTCCTCTAGGCATAGCCAGCAAGAGAAAATTCACTAACAAAACAAAGAGCTGACTATTTAGAGTAGCAAATACAATCATTTACAGAGAAACAAGTATTTTGTATATTTTGATATATTCATATTTTTAAAAATATAATTGCTTTATCTGTTTTTTTATTATATAATTATATAATGTCTTTTTTATACCTGTATTGTTCATCATTCAATAGCGGCTTCTGAGCAGCTAAGTATCTACTAATAGTGTCCTCCAGTTTAGGAATAGGCAACCTTAAAATGGATATAATTAACAAATTATAAATTGGCATTTTGTATCAATTCTCTCATCCCATATATGAACTTAGCTGTTATTTATTTCTAGAGATTTTTTTGAAGGACATACTATTATTTCTATCAAGGAGAAAGGCAGCAATCACAGATTAACCAGCCTCCTGTCACCTTCCTAGATGTTTTCATTAACTAGGATAGATACACACTAGATGTAGCAAGAGTATTCCCTTCAGTACAATCATATGGATGAGTAGCTGTTTTTTTTAACAACATAAATCTTAAAATTAACTTAGTTATTTTTAATATTTGTGTTGTAACAGAAAGTAAATAATTATTATTTTATAAAATCTAACTTAATAAATCTTAAGTATAAAATCAATATCCAAGTTTATATTTAAACAGATCTTAGATGAAATTACCTATGGAATCCTTACTGCACTTTGAGTTTAATTGCTCGCTTAGATATTTTATTACCCAACTAGGTAACATAATTGGTGAAAGTAGGCAGGCTTATTCCCTGTTTATATACTGTTTATATACAAAACTGCCCTGCCAGTTTTAGGTATGGTGTCCCCCCCCCCCTCCTTGAAGAATATTTTTATCTGGATTTATGAAATATTGGACAAGGGCACCTGAACACGAACATTTTTGTTTTGACTAGGGCAGAAAGAGATTGGGCTTTGTATGGGGATCTTCACAGGAGAGCTACATTAGAAAAAGGAGAAGCTATTGCAGGCCTCTTTTCAAACCCCGAGCTCAGCTGCCTGCTCCAACGGCAACCGGATGCTGTTTTTGAAAGAGGCCCAACGGCTTAAATAGTACTGTTTGGGTTACATTCACAAAGAGTGTGTGAGAAATGGGGCATCCAAGTGCTTTCCCCTACAACCAAGTGATCCAGCTACACTCCAAGAAAGGGAAAGGGAGAAGGAAGGATGTTTTCGATGTACTCAAAGTCAGCTTACTCCCCCCCCCCATTTCCATGAAACTTGGGGTACGGCAGAGGAACCTGGGCAAGCTGGGCTGGAAATGCATGGTAGGAATGGTGCTTCGATGTACGAAATGATGGTCAGTGTCCTGCTCCGACACGATCCCCTCCGGCTGTCCCACGTTCCTCCAGTACTGGCGGCAGCTAACCGCGCACTCCCACAGCATCGAGGCGCCCCAGGGGGGCTTCGCTCGGCGCATGTCAGGCTACTCGGCCTGGAGAGGGAAGAGAAAGGACGAAATGCTACCCCACCGCAACCGGCCTTCGGCAGCACGCGTTCCTCCAAATGGCGGCAAACGGCCGAAGGCTGAAGGAAAGAAGGCCTCCGCCTGGTATCCAAGGCAACCAGAGAACGCTAGGAGCCGTTTTCGCTTCTGAGGGGGCAACGCGGACGACGAGCGAGGCCGCGGTGGCTGCCTTGCTCGCTGACCGCCGCATTTGACCCCTGCACCCCATCGCGGGGGGAAGCAGCCTTTGAGGAAACGCTGCTGGCCGAGCTTTATTGCTAAATCATTTATACGGTACCTGACTGACGTGGGAAGCATCGAACGTTTTTCCCTACCCTCCGTGTCGTGGGAATAGCTGAGAATCCCTATTGTCGCCGTCCCATTTACCGAGGCCGCATCTTCCCATCTCTCCCCTAAAGGGGAACATGTATGGGATGGAGTTTACATATATTAAAACACGTTCTGTATATTAAAAATAACAAGAAAATAAAGCTTTACATATGTACTCTTAAAAAAAATCCCGATAGAATTTCCTAAGGCTGTTTTTCTCTTTTCAGTAGACTTTCTTTGAGACGTACCTTCTTAATACACATGAATCTAAACACTACAGAAATATGCTGTATTTGGAAATAGGAAAGAAAAAAATTCCAATTCAATTTTTCTTTTTGAAACAATGGAAGTGGAACAGTGACTCATTTCTATCTAAAGTATTTCACCTACCATAAAGAAAAAGGTTGCTGGTAGTCAGGCTACATAAGAATTATTATTATCACTATTAATAATCAGCTTCATCTTCCCTAAGTAAAGTCACAGGAAAAAATCATTTCTATTACTCTAATTTATCTGATGGGATTACCTTGTAGTCAACGTTAAAAGCCACTGGCACTGTCATTATTTTCTGGCATGGAGGGACGGAAGGAGGAAGGGACAGAGCGTAGCAATCACTTTCCCATTAAAATCTAATTAATGAAAAGCATCTTGCCCAATAAAACTTCCCTAACTTTACATCAATAATATTCATTGTATACAAGTCATTCTTCAGGTCATCTGCAACAAATTAGGGACACAATTCTGCAATAAACAATGTCAGAGATACCAGATTTTGAATGAAGAGATTTAAAATGAAATGAAGCAGCACTGCTTGTGATTCAGACATTGACATTTTGTGCCTTCCATTTTTTGTATTTCAAAATATTTCTTTATTTCAAAGTATCCTCTTTAATTATAAACAGTACCGTAGTTAATAAACATGCTACTAGTAGATTTGTTTTAGAATTATGTACAATTCCTATTTTTATAAGAGCTCTCAAGTTATTTTTATATTCAAACAAAGAAAATAAAAAATTGCTATTTTTTCCATAAATTTGATTTTATCATATAAAATCTGAAATAACTTTCTTTAAAAAATGCTTTGTGGTCCTTAAAGTTCTGTCTACTAATTTTGCTGTGACAAGAGAGAAACCTTGAGTTCCATTTTAACATCTTGCTTTATCACTGTAATATAGTCCCTGAGAGAGATCACAATGATGTTTGTTTATGTCATAAATCTATATTCCAGGCTGGAATATTATCTCAAATTTATTATCAGGCCACAGTGGGTAGTTAAAATAATATATCTTGTTATGACACTTATTTTTATTACTGAATTATCAGAAAAAAAATAATGTGCATGTTTAGGCTTTCATTTTATGTGCTTTTTTTGAGTATAGCTTGACTCCCTTATATCTGGGAATAAACTACAATGGGTGGTTAAACATTTATAATAAATACTAAGCTATAGATAGTCCATGTTTAGCAACTACTGGTAATTCATTTAGCAACTGTTCACAACTGAACAATGATGAAAAAATAACTTTACAACCAGTTCTTGCATTTATGACTTGGTTTATAAAGCAAGATTGAAGTAAAATAAGTTTAGTCACAGTTTCACTTAGTGACCATTTAACTCAAGATCTGGTTAATTATGGTTGTAAAACTACTTATACAACAATAAAGGGTATCAGGTTAGACAGATTTATAGCAGTTAATATACATTACTAAGGGAAAAACCTTAATTTAAATAATTTACATTGATTTATATTAGAAATTCATATAGTTTTGAGCAGACATACATATTCATATTTTAATAAAACAATGATTTGCACAAACAATTTTAATTTTATTGTTTCTAATGTCTTAGAATACTAATAAGAGTTTATAATATTTTGGGACACTAGGCCGTGTGTGTTTTTCAGTGCTAGGTTCTAACTGCATATCTTTGTTCGTTCTGTCTACAATACATGCAAACATACAAACAAACATGCAGCTTAAGGCTGTGATTTTTTAAAAACTTTGCAGAGCATTTTCTTGTCTCTAGGAAATTACACATCCCATTATGGTGAATACAAAGATGACTAAGTTTACTTATATAACATTCCCTGCCTGCAACATCAACTAGAACGTGCATGTCAAATTGTTAGCCAAAGACACATAGGAGGGAGCCTAAGCCTCCTTAGAGCTTTGACAGTTGCCCAATAGCAGAATTGGCACAGTTAACTCCCAATTCTAATTGGGTTAAATGGAAAGAAAAATAAATAAATAAAAGGACCTAAGTACTGAAATAGCAAATAAAAATATATTTCTTTGACTGTCTGAATTCACAGGGGATATGAACTATAATAATGATAGCTCACATGCAGGTTTTTGGCTCCATTTGAGGATATTTGTATGTGTGCCCAAACTTTCCAGAATCCTTTGGGACTATTTAGTGTATAAAACAGTGTTTTCCCAGAACTGTTTTTTCCAAAAGTGGGACAAAAAACAAAAACTACTGTGAATCATTTTTAATTGGAGTTATTTTATTATTAACATTTATTTTATTAGAATTCCAGGTCCTTTAATCAAAAATACAATTCCTCCCTTAATTCCTCATGTTATGTTTCTGCCCTGCAACAGTCAGTATACATTGCATATTCTTAGTATTTACTGGGCTGTTTTGAGTTACCAGATTTTCTCCTCTACATTTGTTTTTGTACTTTGCAACCCCAAATTTGCCAGTACTTACCTCTTGGGCTAAAGAATGCCTCTTTGGTTGCACAATGACAGTAGGTTAAATAATACCTTTGCTATGCATACTATGCTAAATTCATTAAATTAAGCAAGTTGTTTTCTGAATAACATATTTGAAATTTTTGAAAATAAATTTAAAATACATTTTTATATAATATAAAGTTACTGCAAACCTAACTTGTTTTACATTTCAAGGCTGAATAACTACACTTTAGCAATTGGGGGGGGGGGAATGAAATAATGTTGCATACTTTCCCCTCATTTTAGCAATACAGATTTCACTACTATATTCAGAATATAGGAAAAGGTCTTTTCCTCTGTATTTCATGTAAACTCCAGAGTTTGTAATTGAAACATTCCTTCAGGAGTTTTATTGACAATGATATTTCTATAATATTATTAATTTATAGAAGCACCCAGGACAGGGAAAATGTTGAAATTAAAATGCTCATTTTTTCTTCTTCAAAATGACATTTTTTTTCAACTGATCACAAAAAATGAGGAAATGAGAAAATCATTGCAAACTTTTTGAAAAATACATCCAACAGATTATTTTAAGATTAAGTAAAAATTAATGTTAGCCTGATCATAACTGATCAGGTTAACTGATCATAAACAGCTCAATGTGAAATCTGTCAGGTTCTGTATTCCTACTGTTTTAAAAACTGCTACTGTCTTGCTACTGCCTAGTGGAAGGTATTTAAAATTGGGGACATTTCTTTTCTAGAATGTTGACATTTCTCTTAACTTGATCTGCCTGGCTTCTTGCATATGGCAACTCTGGAAGTGGATTGGCTGCCAGTGAGCTCATGGATTTATTATGCATCTCTTTTCAGCAGCAGCAATATATCACGAAGTCGCCTTCTGTTCAGTGAGATGCTACCCTTCCCAAAGCTGTAGTTTATGTGTGTGGGTTTCGTCTGATTGTATCAGGCTTTGCAGAAATATAGAGCGCTCTTCCTTTTGCGGATGTTAATATTCTTTGTTGGTAGCGTATACTGACGTCACGAGGCAATGGCTGAGCTTGAGGCTTGTAGTTGCTGAGTTTATGTGCTAATTTCATTTTCAGCACAGCAAGCAAGCAAGCAAGCTATTGTCACGGAGCTAACCCTCTTTCTGGTTTACAGAGACAAGATTGCTCAACAAGACATGAACGGAAACTCCCCAGAGCTACCGCGATTGCGACTAGGTGAATGAAAGACCCTCAGGAAATGGAGGAAGAATAAATTCAAACGGCTCTGGATTTGTAATGCAAGCAGCTTTTGTGGAGTTCCAAGGAAATTTGCTTTCGTGCTTCTGGATTTAAAATCATGTATGTGGATTATTATTGTTTGTTCCTTTAGCGTTAGGAATCCGCTAAAATCATATCTGTGCGTCTGTGTTTATATCAATGTACACCGGTCTGGGTTTATTTTTAAAAAATATATATAATTTGGTTTTCCTCTTTTCCCCGCCCTATATTTTCTTAATTTTGTTTTAGTAAATGTTTAATTCAACATATTGAAATGTTATTTATTTGTAGGTCTGTTCACATTGTAGCCTTTGGGAATGAAAGAGATGGATTTTCTGAGGATGATCAGCAGAAGAGTTTGATATGGACCTATCTTGGGAGAAGTGCTTTAGTTTCAGAGACTGACAGTAATTTGTTACTAAACTCTGCCAGTTATCTTAGAAATCCTGCATTCACGGAGTATCAAGCTTGTGTGTTTGGAAATGTCAGATTGGTGGTACATGACTGTCCTCTCTGGGTAAGAGAATGTAATAAAAAAAAGTTATAGATCAATTTTAAACATATTTATTTTGAAGTACCTAAGTATCATAGTATTCCATTAGGTTTATTTCACTGCAATCACATGCAGAATTGTAGTTTTACTATAATCTGGGCCAAGTGCTAAAATAATATTCACCCCTTAATATGTTGAATTGGATAAAAAAGAGTGAATCTTTTACAGATTGCTCCCCGTCAAATACATTTTGGGGTATCTCATAAGCTTAAAATATAAAAAGTATTTTTATTCCTATATTGAAACAGTTTTTTGTCATAAAATAAAACTTTTTACTGAAACCAATAGAATATAATATGTTTTTTCAATATTAACTTTTAATTTGGATCATTTCTAAAAGCAAATTGTTTAACTTTCAGCTTAGAATATTATTTATACTGCATGAATGTAAACTTGTAAAAATTGACACTGTTGTTTTTCTTAATCATGCAAAAAATAGCTTTCAGTTATGTTTCTGATGTTAGTATTAGAATTCCTATCGACAACTACCTAGATTCATATCTTTATGTGAGATTTTGAGTGATTTATATGGATGTGAATAAATAGCTTGTAGTTTAAATTTTAAATACAAGAAATAAATCCCGTATCTGAAAAAAGCAGAGAGCTACATTTCTATGAAAGGCTATCAATATTGTCAGATGATATTGGTAGTATATTCCTTACAAGTGAAATGCTGCTTATCTTAGTTATTGGTGATAGATAACATATTTTAATAGGATCCATCCCCTGAAACGATCTGATAGTTGTGGACCATATTCCTAGAGTTTAAATTTTAAATGATAAAACAATCCTTTATAATGTAAACGATAGGCTTCCAATCTGTGACCGAAAGAGGTTAAGAGGAATATTAGGGTGAGTGTATTTTTAGAATACCAGGACACAGCAGAAGTAATCACTATATGCAGGGTGGCCTGGAAAACTAAGAAAGTAAGCTAAACAAGATGAGACAGTTCTTATCATTCTCACCACAGTGTTGTTTTTCACACTGTTATTACTGACATTATTGAATAGTAGAATTATATAACACTACAGTATTATAACCACTGCAGTTGTCTGAGCCAAAAGGATTTCTTTTATAGAAGTTTCACTTATGATGAGGGTTTCCTGTCTGGAGATGGGACAGGTTTAAAAGCTAATTAATACAAAGAATTAGTTAAAATACTTTTGCTTGAAGAGACATGGTCAAAACCACTTTTTCTAATTTATTTGGATGATGATATCTAGGACCTACCTTTACTGGATCGATACTCAGCTTCAGTCCACCCTTTCCCTCCCCCTTCCATGAAATGTGTTATATATGAAATATGCATAGATAACTTTGGGGGGGAATCTATTTAGTGCTCAAGACTTCTAATGGGACAGAAGAGTGATTGGGGCACATTTGAAGGTAATTGTCTGTACCAAGTAATTAGGAAAACATGACCTAAGTTTACATACTAACTTTAAATTCATACATTTACATGCAAACACAGATAATTGAAGATTATTGATCCTGGTGATCCTGTATTTTTGTCTCAAAAGTGCATTTCAACCATTAGTTACGTATGTCTTATATAAGACTTCAGAAATAAACTGCATCTGAGATTAACTTTTTATGGAGGTCACTATTTTGCAGCAGTTTGTAAAGTGTTCTACATATATATAAATCAGACATCACTTGTGGTATTTACGATGTTAATTTGTACTCAGATGGAATGTTTGCTATTTTCTAATTATTTTAGTCCCACCCTACAATTTTTGCCTGTATGTGAATAAGGATCTCTGAATCTTTGAAATAGAGAGACAATATCTAGGAATATCTGTGATTGGTTGAGCAATATCTTGCATGTGTAAAAATCTAGGAATTTCAACACTAATATTTCCTAATGGATAATTTGTTAGGTTCAAAATGTGGATTGAGAAATGTATACAGTCCATCATATTCATGGTGTAAAACTTCTGAATATTCATCATGTCAAACTACATTATGTCAGTTCAATTTTGTTATTCCTACGGTCTATTCTGTGTCTTCTCTTAATATTGTTCCTGCATAACTTTTGTCTTTCTTTTCCATTCCATCTCCACTCGCAGGTACTCCTCATACCTCTGAACATTCTGAACTTAGTCTATGTTCTCTTTTTTCTCAGTTACTTAAAAATATTGGATAATCTAATTGAGTTTTCAAATTGTGTGATTTCTGAAGTCCTTTGAATTGTGATACTACAAAAAAGTGCAGAAAATTCACTCATAGTAGGCCTAAAGTTTTCATCAGCTGACAATAAGGGCATTGGGCTGACCTTTCATTTCTAAAGTAGTGAGCTTCCCAGAATGTCACGGGGAAAAACAGTTAAACTTCAATTTCTTATAAGAATAAATGTATCATGATTCTAACCTGAACTTTAAAAGCATTATAAAGATTGTAATAAAAGATGGAGTGATCAAGGGGTACAACGGTATTTGTAAATGATGGGAAAATGTAGGAAAACTTAAGCTGGCACAGTCAGTATCTCAGAAAAAGTATTTCTAATTGCCCTTGTAAAATGTTTTGTTTAGTTAGCTATTTGCTCTTCAATCATTAAAGGAGGTTGGAACAACCTTAAAAAAAAGAACACTGTTTTTGTTAGGAATTTTAGCAATTGATTTCTAATAGTTTTACTGATCTTCAGAAATGAAGAACTAGTGACAGTTATTTATCTGGTAAATCAAGGTCAGGGTTTTCAGTTATACCTTTTCCTTAATTTCCAGTAAGAATAACATTTTAAAAGTCAAATGCTTCTGCTTTCAAAATGTATTAGTACTGCACCAATAACTGATATTGCTATAATTAATTGAAATGAGTAGTAGTTTTGATGGATGTATTTTGTATATAAAATGTATCAATAATTGAATAGAAACTTTATCTTAATATTTAGACAGCTGGATTGGAAATCCTTTACAGCCATGAACTGTTAGTTTCATCACCCTATGTATACAAACTCATAACTGTAAAAAAGACTTATTAACATAAAGTTTGCTGCAGGCAAGACATAGAAAGCAAGATGGTTTGAACAAATTGATTTATTGCGGACATCTTAAAGAAATGTATCCTAAGTTTTAGTAAACTTTCAATTATTATACAGTTGTGTGCTCTGATCTCTTGATCAATAAAAAAGGGAATTTAGCTCCATCTTTTTGTTTTGTATATATAGGATATTTTTGAAAGTGACTGGTACACATCTCGGAACCTCATTGGAGAAGCAGATATCATTGTGATTAAATATTCTGTAAATGACAAGTCTTCATTTCAAGAAGTTAAAGATATTTATGCACCACTGATAAAGAAAACACTTAGTCACTGTTCAGTTCCAGTTATAATTTCTGCTGTTGGTGCAAGACAAAACGGTATGTGCTAGAAGTCATGTTATAAAAAGCTGAGATATCAGTATTATGCTAAGTGTTGGATGAATCATGATGAAAAAGCTTTGTTATTAGATCACTCATGATAAAGTTAATACTTCTTAGAACGGAACTTAATATTCTACCTTTTGAAAGAGAAAAAAATAAGAATAACCTGGAACAGTATCATCCTATACAGGTAGAACTTGACTTATAACAGTTCATTTAGTTGATGTTCAAAGTTATAATGGCACAGAAAAATGTGACTTGTGACCATTTTTCACACTTATGACATTGCAGTATCCCCATGGTTACATGATCAAAATTCAGATGCTTGGCAACTGGTTCATATTTATGATGGTTGCAGTGTCCTGGGGTCACGTGATCCCCTTTTGCGACTTTTTGATAAGCAAAATCAAAGGGGAACCCAGATGCATGTAACAACCATGTTACTAACAACTGCAGTGATTCACTTAACAATGGTGGCAAAAAAAGTTGTAAAATGGGGCAAAACTCACTTAAATGTTTCACTTAGCAACATAAATTTTGAGCTCAGTTGTGGTCGTAACTCGAGGACTACCTGTATGCTCATTTTAAAAACCATCTAAAAGCATTAGCAGATTTCTGAGTTAGAATGTTAAAGAATTGAAGGATGTGATTCTTTGAACATTTGCTTGGTACAACTATGAACAACAGATTTTTCCAGGACAGTATCACTTTTCCATAGAGGTATATGACTAATTACAATTAATGATGGAAAGATGACAAAGTGTCATGATGTCTATTGTATCATACTTGATTATTGTCATAATATTTAAGTCATAGGATTTGTGATATGATGTTTTGGCATTTCATATTTTCACTTGCCTCCTTGTTTAGATGTTTAGATGTTTATTAACATTTGTAGGCCGCCCTTTTCCCTGAGGGGACTCAGGGCGACTCACATAAAATCAGGGAGGGGGAATACAAACAATGACGTAGACACATATAATAAAAGTAATAAGCAACATACATTCATCATTCGGGAGGGGCGGCTATCCTTGTCCCCAGGCCTGACGGGCTAGCCAGTTCTTAAGGGCTGTTATGGAAATATGGAAATAATGCTTCTACATTACAAACCACCCAGAGAGTGCTGTATAGCACCATGGGGTGGTATATAGGTCTAAATGCTATTGGTAATTAGAGACACTGTATATGGAAGACAGTTATCTGCTAAACTGGAAAATTACCATGTTTGAGTTCTGAGCTATTTTAAGAGAGAGAGAGAGAGAGTAAACCACATTGATGGTTTTACTAAGCAGAAATATGGTGACTGATATTATCTCAAGCAATCCACAGATAACTTAGNACACACACACACACACACACACACACACACACACACAAAACTTTAGTCACCATGTCTCCACAACGTGAATCTCTTTGCCTAGACACAGAATGCTTGGCCTACTTACTGAGTTAATCTATTTTCTGGGGTTTCAAAATACGTAGAAAAACAAATCAACAAGATTGATAAACTCACTAAGTCAAGGAAGGAGTAGCCAAGTTTAAAAGGAACTCAGAGTAGCATGATATTTTAGGGCAACCACTCAGTCTTAAACTGAATTGCTAAAGCGAATTTTATGAACAGATATGTATCTTGGATTCCTGTAGACGTAAAAAGTATGAAGTAAATGCTGGGTGCTGAAAGGTATGCTGTGCTAAAAAGTAAATGCTGTGAGCATGACGTGGTTTATACACAGATTGGTCAAAGAAGAGAGCAAGTCAGGTGTGCTTTTCATTGCCTTTCATTTTTCCCCTCTCATATTCCTGTGTTCTTTTCTGCTTCTGATACCCAGACTCTGCTGGGACTTGTCTCTGTTTGCCTCTGTGTTTTGTTCCTTCTTCTCAAAGTGTCAAAAACTTCTCATTACGGTTGCCATAGCAGAGATGGTATGCAGAAAGAGCAATCTAACAATGTAAATCCCTTCATTAAAAAATTAAATTAAAAATGGTCTTGTCCTAAGCTACAGTATTAGGACTGTAATTAGCAGAAGAACTACTGCTTTGAAAGAAACCAGGCAGTGAAGAACATTAAAAAGTGGACCCTGCTGTGAGGCACTGAAATAATGAATAACCCTGTTTTTAGGTTACTTCCTTACTCTTCCGCTCTTCGTTTTCTGTTTCCCACTCTGTTGTGTTTACTGAGCATCCTCAGTCACGAATCTACCTGGCTGGGGCTGATTAGAACTGGAGTCTGACAACTGAAGGGATACAGGCTGCTGTTTCTTGGCTTAGCCCAATAGCATACTCAACCTTCAAAGATGAAGGGACATATCATAGAGGACTGGCATCCTTAGAGAAAGAAAATGCACACAGTCACTCTTCATTGGTTCTGCAAGCATTTTTTGGCTTCTGAATTGAGATTATGGATATCGTAGTCCTCATGTATCTTGTTTTGGAGGTTTGTCCTATGATCGTGATGGTGAACCTATGGCACATGAACCTATGGTCGCCCAGCTCAACTCCACCATGCATGCACACGTCCCACCTGCCCGCCAGCTGATTTTGGGGTCTCTGCCATGCATGTGGGGTGTCTGCACGCATGCAGGGGGAGGGGAGAGCACGGAGAGAGTACGGTGGCCCCACACCCCATTTTTGGTCCCAGGAGGCTTCAGGGAGGCCTGCTAGGCCCAAAATGGACTGTGGGGGGGGGGTGTCGCATGTGTCTGCGTGGGGAGTGTGGAGAGTGCTTGTGGGGGCTGTGCATGCATTGCATTATGGCACGCACAAACAGCTTTTGGCATGCAATGACAAAAAGCTTAGCCATCACTGTCCTATGATCTTCCTGACTCCAGTAAATAGTTGAGCAGACTCATTTCTTTCTTTCTTTTTAATAATATATGTATTTATTTTCTCTTTACATACAATATGTGCTTAGTGGACATACTTCTGAATGTGGGACTTGTTTTATCAATGGTAGGAAAATAGAGATGGAAATGAGGATGTTAACAAGTGTTATTATGTAAACAAATTGACTCAGAGCAGTCTCATTTCAAAGATGCATATTTGATTACACACATTATCTTCCAGTCCCTTAATCCACATGATTTTAATCTATGGCTCACAAAAAGGGCCATTTCCACTGCTTATGTTTATATATTTATTTCTTTGTTAGCCATTTTGAATCCCCTCTGGGTTGAAAGGCAGGAGATAAATCAAATATGTAGTAAGAAATCAGTTCTAGAAGCCTAGACATTCGGATTTATTTTTGAACTTTTTATCAATATAAGAATAGGGATTGAGGCGATAGGTGAAACAGACTAGGAAGCATAGTTCTAATCCCTCAAATTATTTAGATGATGTGAGGCAACAGGCCACCCTGTCCTATGTGTTTATGTGTATGCATTTGGAAAGAAAGAACATACACCAAACTCTTATCAACCTATAACCCAATAGAATCAAAGGTAATCAAACTTTACAGACTTCCATAGTTCTTTGAGCTGAAAATTTCTTATACCCATACTAATAGGAGCAGTTTCTCAGCCTATGTGCTGAACTGGTTTTGGAGGGTACTGTACTTATGAGTAGTATTTCTCAACCTTAGAAAAGATGTGTGAACTTCTACACCTAGATTTCCCCAGTCAGCACATTCCCAAGTCCCTACATCTTAAAGTTGCTAAGTTTGAGAAATACTGTTTGCAAGACATAACAGTGAAGAAGGCAAATCAGTAGATGATGAAGCTAGTTAAAAAAGGATTTAGTTACAGAACTAAGGACATCTCCTAGGGATGTTTAAGTTCTATAGGTAGTTTTCGATTTATGGACACAATTGAGCCCAAAATTTTTGTTGCTAAGTGAGACTATTGTTAAGTGGGTTTTGCCCCATTTTACAATTTTACTTGCTACAGTTGTTAAGTAAATCACTGCACTTGTTAATTTAGTAGCCCATTGTTAAGTGAATCTGGCTTCCCCATTGACTTTACTTGTCAGAAGATGCCAAAGGTGATCAAATGACCCTGGGACACTGCAACTGTCATATATGAGCCAGTTGCCAAGCCTCTGAATTTTGATCACGTGACCATGCAGATGCTGCAATGGTCATAAGTGAGAAAAATGATAATAAGTCACTTTTTTCAGTGCCATTGTCACTTCAAACAGTGGCTAAATAAGATGTTGTACATTGAGGACTACCTGTACTTTCCATCCATACTTTTTAAGCAGTACCCTATTTCCCAGAAAATGGGAGTGCGATAGTCTTGACATCATGTATTGGAAGAGAAAGACAATTTATTAATATATCTTCTAGCCAATCATGGAAGAGATAACAAAACTTTGTAATTGTTTATGGTCAATTTTTATAGAGGAAATAAGAAAATGAAATAACCATGGACCCCACACTAACATTTTAAGTGATAGTGTTTCCTTGAAAGAATATTCATGTTTTTAAAAATACAATGTAAAGGTTGTAGTTCTGTTTCTGACAACATGGTCTACAAATTGAATGTATACAGGCAAAAGGTAACGTCACAAAAACCATTGGAGCTTATTTGTAGGTAATATTTAGGATTGTTTGCCTGGGCCTTAAAATTTAAGTACAAGATGTCCAATGGTGGTGTCTTTATTTTGTCGTTGGTCATGGCATCAGTATTCATATCACTATGCCAAGGTTGTACCTTTTAGGATTATGTCATAACATACAAAATTTGCAAGGATATAAACCTTTATCATGTCAAAGATGACTTTGCCAAGTATGATTCTGCCCATTTGATCTATACATTGAGAGAAGGCTCACTGAGAGCCCCATATGGTGTGCAGGTGATGTGAACTAGGTATCAGCTTGTTTGGAACATGCTGCCCCTAGATGAAAGCTTGGTCCCAATCATCTTTTCATTCTGAACTGTCCTGAACACTGTTTTAGTTCAATGGCCCTTTGGGCTGAGAAGAACTTAGGGACCACCATAAGTGCAGGACAAGAGCTCACCATTTCTCAGTTTCTAGCCTGGTACCTTTAACCACTATGGCAAATTAGCTGTCT